GCCTACCTATATAATAAATTAATTTTTACCTCACTTACCTATGCTTCATTAACTTAACTCAAGACTCATGAAGAAAGAGAAAAAGGAGTAAAACAGAACATAAAATACTACCACACAAACAAACATGATGTATGTATGTATGTATGAGCAACCGCTAAAGAACCCACCTAAAATATAAAAAAATACAACATACAAACACACAAACCACAGACAAGCAAACTCTATATAACTCTATATAACTCTATATAAAATAAAAATAAATTAATTAAAAAAATATAAATATAAAAAAATGAGATCAGGCACTCCGACTCGAGCGAGGCAGAAATGCCTGATCTGATTTCAACGTTTTTTCAGCTCCTATTTATACTCGTTTTAACCATACATTTTCATCATTTCAATCATTCACATCATTAAAAAGTTATTTAATGTATGTACTACACTATTATACAGTCTTAACCAAAATGCTAACCGTACTAAATTGAAGTCATCGAACGAACGCATTCGAAACTTTCTGGTTGGCTGGTTGAATCTGCTATATTGCTTTTCATATAAACATAATCTAATATAATATAATTTAATTATTTGTATACATGGATTATAGTCACTTTATATATATATATATATATATATATATATATATATATAATAAAAATTTATTATAAAAGCAACAGTAATCAATGCAATATATGTAAGCACGCAGCTCAAATTTTTCGGGGAGAATTCAAAATTGTTTGAGACCACACCTTGCTTAACATCCAATTCCAAGCCGAGCCAAGCCAAGCTGAGCCAATATGCATAAATTCATTGTAAAAAACAACAGTAGCCATTACTATATATGTACGCACGCAGTTCAAATTTTTCGGGGAGAATTCAAAATAGTTTAAGACCACACCTTGCTTAACATCCGATTCCAAGCCGAGCCAAGCCAAGCTGAGCCAATATGCATAGATTTATAAGCGCTTTTATATTAAAATTTTGCTCCCTTTTCAAACGAATATCCCAATATAACAAATTCTCCATCCTATTTTAACTTTCTTTGATGCTTTTTAATCAGTCAGGTCACAAAAATCATTAGTGATATCGCAATGAAATCAATTTGAAATTTTTTTTTAATTATTGATAAAATTTTTAAATTGTTGATAATAATAACTAGTATATATACTGTAGTAAAACGTTTAAAATTTTCTGAGAGAATTTAAAATAATTGGAGACTACACCATAACACAATTGTACAATTTGAATGTGTAAATACAACATTATAAATGTATTATAACTACATGTCTATTTCTTTATTTAGTTCTGCCTGTGTATATTTTGTCAAATTTATTTGATAGGAATTGAATATAACCTTTATACCGGCTGATTAACTACCATGCAGTAAAATAACTACTGTTGACACCATTTCCTCCAACGATTTCGCAACGAATTGCCCATACCATATAATTAGAATAAACTCTTTCAATCAATGTTTAAATTTTTATATTGTCATTTATTCTTTCGTTTTTGTTTCTGTACTAATTTTCGTGTCAGATACAATAATTTAGTTTTTAAGTAAATTTTTATTTTTGTAGCTATACACAAACATGCCTACCTGTTGCATTAAAAATTGCATTAATAATAAATAGAAATGAGAAAATTTGTGATGCATCTTTTCACAGGTTTATTTTCAAATTAACTTCACACTAAAATAAATGTAACAATATCCTTATACTCGTTGAATAGAACTATTTTGTTTTACAATTACATATATTTTATTTTATAGACTATTATAATTTATAATATAATGCTATCATGGATTACCATTTTATTATTAAAAGCAATACTTAAGAAATGCACAAGTTTCTGTAACAGTTTATAAAATTTCAGATTTCCTCAAAATGTAAAAATGCAAAACGATTGGATTAAGTGCATCAGACAGGAAATAAATGATTTCAAATGGCTTCCATCAAAAAATGCAAGAATATGCAGTGACCATTTCTGTAATAAAGATTATAAGGGTTATGATGGAGAAAGGAAGGTAATACTGAAGAAAGCATTCCCATGTTTTCAAGTTAGTTATATTTATATGTCATCAGTTACACAAGGAAGCAATTCACATCATCATTGTACATTGCAACATTATCTATACAAAAAATATAAAATGCATTCACCAATATTCCATGTATTTTATTAAAACTTAGAAAGGGCATAATGACATTGTGAATAATAAACTCTGTTTAGGACTGGGATCATCATCATCATACCAATCACCATTACAAGTAGAGTCAATTTTATATTAATGCTTAACAAGTTAACTAAATTGGCATAATCAAGTTTTTATATGAAATACACATCAAGTATTTAATGTAACAAATAAATTAACAGAAAAATTTCTGGAAAAGTTTAAAAAAATTAGAACATATGACTCTGATCAAAAATCATTCGCGTTGACACTGCATTTGTATGGGCATAAGGCATATGATTATCTTTGAACAAATGGCTTACATCTTCCTCACACTAGGACATTAAGAAAGTAATCTTGTCATACCTGTTCAATAATTTTAATAAGATTGTTTTAAATAACTATTCTCAATGTCATTTTATTAACACTACATTAAAAGGTGGCTACAAAACATTGATGGTATGCCTGGGATGATTTTTACAAACCTTATTGACTAATGGTGATGGGGATCCTCTGGAACTGTAGGATCATGACATTCAATCTAGTCATGGATTGAGAAATCAATCCTTGATATATTTGATAACAAACATTTATTATAATATAAGAATGAAAAAAAGATGTATGTGTAAGGCAAAATCTTACTGGAACTATTATTTTTAGCAATTTATGATTTATTTTTTTATTTATGACTTTATCCATTTTCAATGATACCGATATTTTTAATTATTATTATTCAAATTATACTCATGCCTATATAAATTAATTAGATTGTGGCTATTTCTATGCTTAATTGTTTTATTTACTTGCCCTAGGTATGCACAGCATTTAATAAATTAATGATAATAATTAATAACACAACATTCTAAGTGCATAAAATATAATAAATTAAAAGTACAATTTTTACAAACCTCATTGGTTATGGTGATTCTTTAAAACTGAATGATCATGATCTAACAAGTCATGGATTGATGAATCATTGGAATCACACATTATCTTTAATAAATTTAATAACAACATGTACCACAATTTAAGAATGAGGAATATTTTGTAAAACATTAAATAAAAAAAATTTAGTTTGAATCACTCATAATTAATAAATTTTAATTAAATTGCAAGTTAGCTTGGGGAGTTTGAATCTTGAATTGAACAAATTACAAAATTGTTTATTTTATAAAATTGATTGGTAAGTTGTTTAATATATTTATTTAATTTAGTATATTTTTTATTCCTAGACCTAAGCATTATAAATAAAAATTTTAAAACCAATCAAGCAATAGAATTTAGGATCTTAGGAACAAGTGCTGTTAGTCGTTGGTGTAGTAGTAGTAAGTATTAGTGTAGTGGTTGGTAGTTTCTAGTAGTCTAATCTGTTAATGTTCGTTAGTGTTATTTGTTATTTATTTCAATTAGTAATTAGAATCAGTAGAGATTAGTTTTAGTTTAATTATTAGAGTTTAGTAATTTAATTACTAATTAGTCGTCGTTTAGTGTTGTTGTGTTGTCGGTGGTTCACAAAAAATTTTTTTTATTTAAAATGCAAAAAGATACTTAACCGTCATACAGCAATATCTATCCCAAAACAGCATCTAGTATCACCTTTTAAAAAATTTTGAAATTTTAAATAAAAGCAATATTCCGAAATTAGTAAATATACGATCGTAACTTTTGACTTGGGCGGTAAAAAATCACCCTCCAATTTTCCTCCGGAAGTAAGCTCCTTGTTCGACCGTCAAAAATGAGCGAAGGCCGTTATATTTATTCTAATTATATGGTCCAAAGCATAAAATTCAGGTTATATTTTTATTCAAAATCGTTTAAGGGTAGATTGCATCGTCAAGCGTTTTACATTTTATTTATTTTTTTTAAATTCAATAACATTTTAAAAATAATTACTCAAAAAACAGTTTTCCTTTTTTTAGTATTTCGGCTGTTTACATTATACTGTCGCTAACCAACGAACATGCAGGCTGTATTTAGTTTATTAGTTGCACCGTGGGTGGAGCTTATGAGTTTCTTTAAACTGTTGACTATAAATAAATATTTCTGGGAAAACCACTTTGCCGTCTCCGAGATTACCTAAAACAGCATCTAGTATCACCTTTTAAAACATTTTGAAATTTTAAATAAAAGCAATATTCCGAAATTAGTAAATATACGGTCGTAACTTTTGACTTGGGCGATAAAAAATCACCCTTCAATTTTCCTCCGGAAGTAAGCTCCTTGTTCTACCGTCAAAAATGAGCGAAGGTCGTTATATTTATTCTAATTATATGGTTTTATATATCTACTAGTTTTTCGATAGCAATAGATTCTGCTGGAAACTTAACGCAAAAGTGTAACCATTTAAAAAATTATTAATAAAATAAATTCTATATTTATCTCTTAAGATTAAGAAGACGTGTTTGTGTTCAATCTCCTGCTATTGCGTCAGGGCTGTTTCAAAAGTATGCTTCTATGAACTTTTAAAAGTCTACCTGGATTAGTTAGTTAGTTAATTAATTAATTTTAAGTTAAGTTAATTAATCATAGATAAACCTGGATTAGTTAGTTAATTAATTAATTTTAAGTTAAGGGTTCAATTAAGATTAATCAATCAATCAATCAATTAGTTTTTAAAGGCGCTTTTTTGCGATGTTCAACAGCGCTTCTCATCAATGAATTTTGGAAACATATTCGCTCTGAACTTCGTAAGTGATGGTGAAGTAGTCTGAGAAGGAGATATAGATTAGTTCTTAAAAAAAGGACCAGAAAAAGCAAAACAGATTTAGCAAAAGATTGTTTAACACGAATTAAAAAGTGAGAACAAGAAGACAATTGTAAACTGGGGCGTTTAAGTTCAATTAATATATTTGATAAGTACTTAGTAACTTAAGAAATAATTTAGATTGAGACTTATACATAAAAGTGCAAATTTTAAAAATTATCCTATATTTTATACTATAGGTAGCCAGTGCAAGAGAACAGATATGGAGATATGAGATTAGAAAGGGGCACGAGCAGCAGAGTTGAAAGCTTTACTTAAACTATAAGGATAGAGTATTAAATCAGGAAGACCATAGTAGAGCAAGTTACAATAATTAATCATAGATAAAACTAAAGAAATAACAAGAAAGGGAAGAGTAGGGTTAGAAAAGAAAAGGCAAAAGCTTTCCTATTCTATGTAGATGAAAGTAAGAGTTAAGTTAAACTTTAAAGAACGGGTTGTGTTTGTGATTGTGAGTGACTTAAATAAGAAATACAATGCAATATAGAATAGACTATAAATAACTATAGTATGGTATATCTACAGTATATAACATATATATGATAATTATGTTTGAGGTTAAATACTTGGTTTTTTATTTTAATTTTTAGATATCCCATTGCATTTTTGATTATATTTTATATATTTCTTTTTATGCAAATTTCATTGTCGTAGTTGTAATAAATAATTTAAAATGTTAAAAAATAATGTGATTGAGAAAAATTGTTTCAAAATAAAATAATGCAAAAGTTTTTCACATGAATTCACATCACCTAAATTTCTAACTAAATGTATCTAAATCTAATCGTCATTGCACTTGCAGGTCCTCTTATGAACCTCTACTGAAAATCTACGATATGAAATCATGAAACGGGATAGTACATTCGTTAAAGCAGGAGGTTATCTTTTGTGAAAAGATTTTAAAAATTTTTTATTCAACCATATTTAACATTACATTTTATAGAAAAGTAAACTTCAATAAATTTGATTCAAGTTGCCGTTTTTTACTGGTTCTTAGCGTTACTACAGTTAAAGTTAATGTTAATCACTTCAAAATTAGTTGAAGTTTAAGATATCTCATGCTGTAGAAGATTTTATGACTGGATTTAATTAAGATGTATTTTGTAAATTATTTCAAAATGGTACAAAAATATATTACAACAGTACATCTGATCCAATTTTCTGATGTTATTAGATATTGTTTTAGATGATCTGTGCTGAATTATAATGAAGTAATCATCCACCTTTGCATATATTTATATTTTTAATTGATGAACATTTTAATGACAAGGTTTTTGAGTTTCACTTAGTTTTTTTTGCAGAAATACTATTTTTCACATTTCTGGGAGGTACTTGTTTTCTTTTTGGATTTTCCAGAAGCTTATCCAAGTTAAGGCATAATAGCGTTAGTTAATTTTTTTATATTAGATAATTTTAAATGATAAATCACAAATGAGTTTTTAAAAAATTTAAAGACTTTTGCATTAGTTATACAATTTCTTTGCAATTATTATAAAATGGATCATTTTTATGCGGCATTTTGTTAGCAATAAAAAAATTTTCTTGTCACTTTCACAATTTTTTACATGAAATTTAATAACTCATTAATAATTTAAATATTTGCAAGATTAATTTTCTATAACATTTCCTTTGGTTATATTAGATAGTTTAATTTTTTATTGTATTCATGTAGATATAATGACAGCGAACTTTCCAGCTCCTAAATAAACAAATTCAATAGATAAACAAACATAAGCTGTTTTCATTTGGCTTCATTTCACTTATTAAAAAACTTGCCAGAAACAGAATGGACATTCTTTAAATGAAACAGGAGAGCAACTTGCTGTGAGAGCACTGAAGAGAGGAAGTCTTTATGCAGTTCTTGGCTTCACAGTAGTCTGCTCTTTGACATCTTATTGTATAGGAATTAAATCTGTTAGTTTTTTTGTTTATTTTTTAAAAATTGTTTTAAGAAAATCACTGTAATACATTATCACACTTTTTAATACAGTGCAATTTACTGCTGTTATTTAGAAAAAGGTTATTCCTTTTAGTGCAAACACACCCAGCGTATATGAATATGCGCAAAAACCACGCATCACACACATTGTATATAATAGGCGGGGATCTCTGTGCATTCGAATCCAGTCACTACAACAGTAGGAACAGGCGCCTTTAACTATTACGCCGTCACGCCTCCCAGAGCTTTATTTTTGTCACATCTTCTTTCAAATAGCCTTTTTCAGTTTTAACTTGCTCAAGTATTTTGTCGACCTTGCAGGGCAGATAGATTAAAAACGGTCTACCTAGAAACGGTCTTTTTTCTCATATCTTCAAAGTTTTAATTTATCTTATCAATTCCACTTTTTTGCATGATAACAAAAGACAACGATGATTGAATGCTTTTACTTTAAAAAAAAACATTTTTGAAAAAAGAGTTTCAAGATGCAATAAACGCCAGCCACATCAGTGAAACAAAGATTTTAGTTTATAGAACAATGACGCTGATAATAGAGAAGACAGACTGACAGATAGAGACAATAGATGGCAAAAGAAATTATTACAAAACCGTTTTAAATAATCGTATTTAAAAAATCAAAAAACTCGGTAAATACTTAAATAGAAAAATTAAATCTGTATTAATGAAGAAGTAAAATTGGTTGAGAAAATTAATTTAAAAGTCTACCTGAAAGGTAGTCTTCATTTTCCCGTAATTAGTCTAAGATTTAAAGAGAATCATTAATTCATTGAGTTGATGATTAAAATTTTATTTCATTCTATGCGTTTTAGCCACTGAGTTTTTTATTTCAACTATATTTCAATGGTTTCATTGTTTCATTTTTATCTGACGCGTATGATTCATGATATTCATACAATCTAAGTTTTGTGTATCTTGTATAGTTGGTTTTTTCCTTCTCCTTCAATAAATTTACGCTATTGTTAAGAGTTACTTAAGAAAATACTTTCGCTTAAAAATGTTTTTTAAATTAGTATTTTTAATAATTTTCATATTGTTTTAAAGTTTCAAGATATCAAGGAAAAAGCTGCTAAACTGAACCTTAAAAAAAAGGTAGATGACAAAAAAACTGAAAAATTGCAAACATTACAGGATCTTGTTGATTACATTGTTAAATCCAAATAACTGAAATATTAAATTTAAATTTCTTAATGAAAAAATCTGTAAACTTATAATTAATTCATTAAAAAACTGTTTTGTAGTATGATTTTTTTTTAAATAAAATAAAATTGAATTATGTTATATCTCAGACAGTATGATTACATTGTATTTATCAATTCAATTGAAGGTGCTAAGTGTTTTGTTTGTCTTGCTGTAGAATATTTATATGTATAAAAAGTACGATGTGTATAAATGTTTGCTTATAATTTCAATATCAATGACGATTTAAAATAAATAGGGAGGAATCAACGTTTACTTACAATTTAATTTACTTCATTTATTTAGAACAAAAGTTCTTATTTTATACTTTTTGTCCTTTTATTTTTTTTGAAACTACGTACTATTTTTGTTGTACTTTTGAAATGGTTTCTGAATTAAAATCCTCACATATAGTTCTGTGGGTTTTATCCAACGCTCTATCCAATAATTTCATTTTCGAGAAGTGGTGCTCATTGTAATGATTTTTATATCAACAATTTATTTAGGTATTCATCTTATACAATGAGCTTGATAAGAAAAGCAGGTTGATCCAGACGATCTGTTCTGTGATTTCTAAAATATAACTCTCAGAGTAGCGGCGAGGCATTGATTGGCTCAAAAAAATGTTTAGAAAAATCTTCTCTGGGGCTCTAATGTATAGACACGTAATTAGAATAGACTATATATATATATATACATACATATATAGAATAGACTATATATAATATATAGTCTATATATATATATATATATATATATGTCATTAAAAATGGTTGCCCAGCGTGCGTTTATAATCTTTTTTATTAAAACCTCAACACTTCTGAGTTTGTTGAATTCTCCATTACATCATATTTTGCATTCACATACGTCCACCTGTTTTAATATTAACTTCACTATATTATTTTCCGATTTTATAATTTCATTTTGTTTCTCAGTTATCGTAATTTTATTATCTTGTTAATTTATATATATATATATATATATATAATTTTTACAATATTCTATAAATTCTACCGAATGTTTGGCGTTAATATGTTTGTAGTTCGTTTTTTCGATTTTTCTCACTAAAGTTTTTTGGTGAACGTTTAATTTATTAAAATTCAAACTAAACTTATTTTTCGAATTCATGCTGCAAATAAGGCCATATTTCGATTCCGAATGAATGATCGTCAGTGCTCCTTGTTGTATATATAGGGAAATATTGACTTTGTCAAGATTAACTTTGACGTTGTAAAAATTAACTTTGGTGTTGTAAAATTGAACTTTGATGCGAATTAGGTGTCAGGTTTCTTAATTGGCTGGTCATCTTTTTCTTCATCGATAGCATCATATTCTTCTTTGTCACTATTTACGATGCTAGTTTTTATTCTTAGTTTTCGTTGTTGGTTAAGCGCCGGGTTGGAAGTGAGGTTGTAATTTTTTGTTGTATATTTATTTTTAGTTTATTGTCATTTTTTGTTGTATATTTATTTTTAGTTTATTGATGTCGATTAGGGTAAACGGTGTTGATAATTATGTCGATTGTATCAGGAATTGGTACATTTGTGAATAATGATTCAACATCCAGAGAGGCAATAAATTTGGATGGTTTATTAATGCTGAGGAGATTAATAAACTCACGGGAAGATTGTAGTGTGTAATTGTTTAGAATATAAGGGGTTAAAATTTGGTTCAAGAATTTTGCAACAGGGTAGGTGACAGTTGTAATTTGGATAATAATTGGTCGGATGGGATGATTCTTTTATGCGTTTTTATATTTCCATATAAGTAGCCAGGAGAGTATTCGCCTATAAGTGATGAAAGTTTGTCATCGGTGATGTGCTTTCTTATCTTCTTGATTATTGTGTTTAGTTTAGTTTAATCGACATCAATAAACCAAAAATAAATATACAACAAAAAATGACAACCTCACTTCCAACCCGGCGCTTAACCAACAACGAAAACAAAGAAGTAATAAAAACTAGCATCGTAAATAGTGACAAAGAAGAATATGATGCTATCGATGAAGAAAAGGAGACCAAAGAAGATGAACAGCCAATTAAGAAACCTGACACCTAATTCGCATCAAAGTTCAATTTTACAACACCAAAGTTAATTTTTAAAACGTCAAAGTTAATCTTGACAAAGTCAATATTTCCCTATATATACAACAAGGAGCACTGACGATGATTCATTCGGAATCGAAATATGGCCTTATTTGCAGCATGAATTCGAAAAATAAGTGTATTTTGAATTTTAATAAACTAAACGTTCACCAAAAAACTTTAGTGAGAAAAATCGAAAAAACGAACTACAAACATATTAACGCCAAACATTCGGTAGAATTTATAGAATATTGTATAAATATATATATATATATATATATATAAATATATATATATATATATATATATATTATTCACCGGATTCCTTGATTTACTTTTTGACTTCATACATTTGTAGGCGAGCCATATATTACTTCAGCGTTCGCTTTTAAACTGTAAACATAAACTGGGAAGGTGCTCTCAGTTCGGCTTAGTTATCGAATCGTTGTAATCGAGGATAAAAATGCCTAACAGTCAATAATTCATAAAATTTCACAGTCAACAATGTCATTAAACATTATTTCAAAGCTTATCTCATCTAACAACCTCTGCAGTCGCTTTTATTTGCTGTCACGGCAGCGAAATTGTACCTACAAGTTGCACATTTCAAACACAGTTCAGTTTCACAGTAACTTATCATGTCCTCTGTTGTCTAAAAAATCGAACTTGACGGAATCCAAAATTGTGGAAAATAAAAAACCTGCTTCTGTACTATCTGCTGAACAAAAATGTGCTAAATTAATTATTGAATAATGAAAAAAATAATAATTTGTGGAATGAATTGAATAGAATAGTGTTGTATGTTGTTATTATTATTTATTAAATTATTAAATCTTACTTTTATTTAATAAAATTTCAGTTAAACAGACTAGCAAAGATGCAGGCTACTCAGGGGTTATCATCATCGGATTGGGAATTACAGGTGTGTTTCAAAATAGTTGCGATTAGGTTTCTAACCGTTAGATTAGAATAGATAAAACTAAAAGTATTAGTATTAGACTCTAATCATTAGAGGAGGTTAGCGTTAGAGATGTAGTAATTTAAAATTATTCAGTGATTATGAAGGTATGTTTCAACATTTGTCTTTAATTTTTTTATAGGTTTCATGTTCTATGCTGTTGGTCGGGAGTTATTTTCAAGCCAGAGTCCAAATGGAATTTACACAAAAGCTTATAAGATGTGCAAACAGAATCAACAGGTGTCCAATATGCTCTTAAATTTATTTTGCTTAACATTTTTTATTAATTTAACTGTATGGAATAATGATTATAATATATGTATTATAATTACAATGACTAAAATGAAAATCTCTATTCTCATGAATAAAATTTTTGATTGCAAACAATTTAAGCTTTGAAGAAATACATGAGTTTTGGGTTTTCGCCAAAAGATTCCAATGAATATTGACTCAAATTCTGAATTGAGGTGTTAGCTATCATTGTCTTTCAAAATGGAGCAAAAATTGCAATTCAAACATGACACTTTTTAAAATTCTTCTGGCTTCAAAAGTGTTTGTTCTTTTCTTTTATTTGTTGCATTTGTTTACCATGATTGTTTCTTTATCTTGGGATTATTTTCAAATTAAGTACTTTGTCTTTGCATTGAAATCTATCTCATATCAATAAATATTATATGAGATTTAGGTTTTTCACTGGTTTCAAAAAGTGCTATTCAAGAAATATTTTGGTGTTTTAATTTTGTTTTTAATTCTGAAAAGTTAGAAAGTTAGCTTTGGTGTTGAAAACTAATTTTAAATAAGTTTTTGTATTTTAAAATCAGTTTGTATCTGTTTTTATTCATTTAGAAACTTTTTAGCTATAAGACTTTATTCTTTATAACCAATTTCTTTAGTGCCAGCCAGTGATTAAACCTGAAAGTTTGTTTTTTTCTGTATGATAAGGTTTTGTAATTGTGCTAGTCCATGATTTGTCTCTATTGTACTTTCAAAACCATCTCACTACTGAGATGAGGAATTCGCATTAATTTTACAGACTCTTCCTCATAAATACTGCATGGATAGTTCTATCAAATTTGAGTAAGAATAGTCGATTTTCTTAATTTTTTTCGCTATAGCATTCTCTGGTTTGTACAGTATTGTTTGAAATTACTTCATAATTTAAATTCTTAAGGTGCAGGATATATTGGGTGAACCTATAAGAGCTTATGGGGAGTTAAATGGTAGAGGAAGACGAAGATATGTAAGGTAAGTTTTGCTGGTCATTTAAACTTTGATTGTCATATTATGGTTGAATATGATACATTATGACAATATAAATTTGTCTGTTTATAGTACGATTCACGTTTATTACGTTGTTATAATGATAATAATATAATCGTTAATGCAATATATTTGGCATTCTTTATATTACATTTTATTTACAATGTACTTATTGTTTTAATTAAATTATTTTTTTCTGTAAATAATCATGGCCTGTCAATTCATGTAAGTTAATTTGTTTTCTGTTAATTGCAAACGATTCTCAGTCACCCTTAAACGTGTCAGTGCTGATTCAAAAAGTTTCAAGATTAGCCACAGACACATGATTTTATCACTTTCTAAATTGAACCTTTCCACACTTTTTTAAAATGCAATTTATTGGTTCAAGATATCTGTTTAAAACCAGGTTAATATTTCATCAAATAGTTTATTCTTTCATAAAAAGTTTATATTTCGAAAAAGCATTCTAAAGACTACAAATGAACCTTATATCTTATATTATCCCTTTTAAATGTGGGGTTGATTCTTGTATATAAATTTGTTCGGTTGCGTGATTTAGTACTTAATTGGTCAGCATCAGCTTTTCTCATCAACATTTAATTTTACTCTTTTTTCTAACTATTTATTGGCAAAACTCTGGAATATTTATTGGCTATTGCTGAATGTTCTTTTTCTATTATCAATGATTCAGCGCTTTTTTGTAATTTTATTTTTTGTTTATCCTTAGGGGATTTTTAGTAACGATCTTCTGTACTTTAAATGAAATATATTGATACATTTCAACATGTTACATCTTGCAGTTCATTATTTACGTTTTTGATCAGTCAAGGGTTCGGAGTTGAACAGACTGAAGAAAATGATTATTACATGTAACCATTTTTGTTTATGTCTTTTAAAATTTGATTTCCAATCATTTAAAAAAATTTTAAGCTGTATACATTTGGATATGAAAAAAATAGAGTGGGCTAATAGAATTACAATGAAAGCTCTGCTGCCAGCGTTATAACAACCATGGTTAATCTGATTTAGCAGATTGATTCGTATTGTAACAAAGATCTTATTTATAATCGTATCCAAAAATGTATTTATAATTATTTAAACCAATCATTCTATTCTCGATGAGTTAGTTTTGGTCAGCGGGTGAATTTGCAAGACAGTAGGAATTCCATGCCATCAACATATGTTTAATAAACTAACCGTTCAAATATTTAGATACTAGATATGGATCGCGCTTGGCGCCTGCAACTACGAATAAATGTTTTAAACCTCGTTTCAAAGACTGACAATGATGTGCTGCCTTTGGCCTCGGCCCGGCAGTTCATTGCACATCTGTTGAGCTGCGTGATGAAAGCCTCGGACTCGTGAAATGGGACTTTGTTATTGGAATATTAAGGAAGGATGTGGGTTTATGTGAACAAATACCGGAGATCAATAAATTTTTGGAACATAAAAAGTGTTTAAAGGTATTTAGGTTGAGCTCTAAACAAGTTGCATCGTCAATTAATTTTTATATTATTTGACTAATTCACCTATTCAGATATGTGTATTAAAAAGCTCATTTTTAATTTTGAATATCAAACGTAGCATGCCAATGTCTTCGCTACGAAAACAGGTTCAATGAATTCGAGGAGGCTGGAATTCAGGTGATGAACATTGAGTTCTACATGGAAGGACCTCTCGAAAAAGCCAAAGTATTTGTTGAAGCAAGACAGGTGACAATTTTTTATTTGTCATAGAAAAATTTTTGTAATTTTAATTTTAGAACTAATTCTTATCGTTCTTCCTTTTCGTAAGATGTTGTAAAATCTAATTTTATTCCAGTATGTTGTGATTACCGCATTCCTGTTGTTAACATTTATTCATATTTTGCGCACCCTGTAGCGTTTTTACTCATCCAAAAAAATGGATCCTCAATCGCAATTTATTTTAATGTGTCGATCGAAATTGACGCAACGCTTTAAAAAATGATGTGATGACGTTCGAGAAGATCAATTTGCACAAACAAATGTCAGTTTGATATTGCTAGTATCGAATTGAACTTCTAACTTACTGAGGCGATAAATATCAACACATAAATGCACAATTTTTTTCTAAACAACATTTTGAACATTGCTTTTAAAATTAATACTTTTTTGTTTTTCGTACAACTTATAACTCGAAAATGTTGTATTATTTATTTATTTTATTTTATTTATTATGTTGTATTATGTTTTTGTTGAATCGATTAAAATATTCCCGCCATTTTTATTTGTCCGATTAATTTAAATTATCATTCTAATATTATTTATCATTAAATTATCTGTTTTTTATGCTTAGAACCACAGAAAAAAATACGAAATATCATTGGTTGTTTTTGAGAATTCCAGTTATCCTCGTCGAGTAGTAACTGTTTACAACGAGAAAGAAATAATCACATCATCATCGAATGTTTGACATATTCAATTATTTTTCCATTTTCAGCAGTTTGTTATACATCTTTTTGGACTTAAATTCAATTTAATAAAGTTTGATCAAATTGAATTATTTCATATATTTTCTGATTTGATTTAACTGGATATCGCATATTTATATATTTGTATAAAAAAAAGTCTGTTGGTAGTAACACCGACACGTAAGTACCTTAAAAAATAATTTACATGGAAGCACATATAAAAAAACCCAACAAAATGCACATGCACACATTTACATTATTGCAGTTATATTATATATTCATTCGTTTCTCAAGGTATCTGTTAAGCGAAGTTTCAGCTAATTCGTTTAAATAATTTTTATTGTGCCTTTTCAACACCCACATTAAGATTGAATTTTAAGAACTGAGAATTTGCTTTCAAGCTTACGAAAACTTTGATAAATATTCTTGTAAGGCTAGTAATTATTATGTTTGAAGGGTCTTGCAAAAAATTCTAATTCTCTTGCAAATAGAATTCTAATTGTTGTGCCTTGAAATTTTAGTAGTACTGACTCAGACTCACTGAAGTTCACTCAGTCTGTTTTAAAACATTTTTTAAAGTTTCATCATGCATCTCTCCTTCGTCTTTAAATCTTTAACTTTTTATTAAACTTATTTGATTCTAATGTCATGCATTTTTCGCTTTTCCTAAAATACAAAAGTTGACTAAGCGTAACTGCATAATTGACAAAGAATTTGACAGCAATGGGGTAATGACGCTGATGAAATTATTCTGTTCAATTTTCTCTTCTATCACTGGTTGAAAATTTTTCATTACTGCTCTTATCAACCAATGTTTTTCATGAATAAGTTATTAAGCTATTATAAGTTATTTTTTCTGCTTACATTATTTTTGGAATAATAAACCGAGTGCAATAAAAAAGGTGTTCATTCTTATGTTATGTTTTATTGACGATCGTCGGAATACCGAAAAAACATTTGTTATGTTATGCAATTTTTATGGTATTTGAAATTTAACAGCGAACACATCTGTCACGTACAACTGTCTATCAATAATAGTAGTTTTCTAAATTTGATGACATTCGACAAAAGTTGACATTCGGCAAAAGTTGACATTCGTTCCTTAGAACTTAAAAAGTTACAAAGTTTCTCCATTTTTTGTCTACTCTACATTTATATTTAATTACATTTTAACTTTTATGACACATGCTTATGCATTAGATTAACCTAAGATGTAACAAGTAAATTAAGATTAACCCGCAAAAAGTTCAACCTATAATTCAACGATATTCAAATTTTTTTCATAATTTTTCGTTACTAAATTGCGTCATTCCAACCAAGAAGCGGTACATTTGAAATAACACTTGAATAATTTGTAAACTGAAAGCGTAGTAATATTGCGTTTTTTACTTTAAAAAATCGGTGTGAAGAAATTTTTAAAGCCGAATCAAATGCCAAAAACATTTGAGATGATGTGTTTGAACGTGATTAAAGTCAAATGTCTAATATGGTCATTTACAATTCTTTCAATGAGAACGACAACCCGATATGAATGAACTGCCAAATTGGGTCATTTGATACATGCGTACGTCTAAATGTTGGAAATAGATGCGTCGTGAATATCTATTAGTGAGTGACTGCCATAAAAAAATTATCAAAGAAATTTAGGTCGGATTACAATGTCAGTCAGTTACTATTCCTCCTATTATCTTACCTGATTCTAAAACTCTTGATGTCTCTCATAAGTTTCGTAGTCTAGGTTTTATCTTTGATTCTACTATGTCTCTCTCTTCTCAGATTAATAGTGTTGCTAGAAGCTCTTACTTTCATCTACGTAGAATAAAAAAACTTTTGCCTTTTCTTGATGATCCTACTCTTCTCCTTCTTGTTACTTCGTTAGTCTTATCTAGGATTGATTAGTGTAACTCGCTCTACCTATGGTCTTCCTGACTCTATACTCTATCCTTTAAGTAAAGCTTTTAACTCTGCTGCTCGTCTAGTTGCTCGTGCCCCTTTCTTTTCTCATATATCTCCATATCTTGTTCTCTTGCACTGGCTTCCTATAAAATATAGAATAATTTTTAAAATTTGCACGTTCATGTATAAGTCTCAATCTAAATTATTTCCTAAGTATTTATCAGATATATTAATTGAACCTAAACGCCCCGGTTTACGATAGTCTTCTTCTTCTCGCTTTTTCTTAACTCGTGTTAAACACTCTTTTGCCAAATTTGCTTTTGCTTTTTCTGGTCCTTTTCTCTGGAACTCTCTACCTACTTCTCTGACTACTTCTCCATCACTTGTGAAGTTCAGAGCAGATCTCAAGACCCATTTGTTTTCAAAATTCATTGAGGAGCGCTGCTGAACATCGCGGAAATAGCGCTTTATAAGCTAATTGATTGATTGATTGATTGATTGATTGATTGATTCGTTTCAACAATTTAAAGCCTATAAAAAAAGGTGTAAATTAATTTTATAGGCGAAAATTGGCTTGCAAGAAGAGTGAAGTATTTATGGAGTTAAATCGAAGGTGGTTATCTTTCCAATGAATATATTCACTGCAACTTCTTTTATCATTTATACGAATGGTATAGTGTGTATCTAAATCATTGATATATATCTATGATCTAAATGTTTGTGTATGTATTTATTCTAAGTATTTATACAATTTAAAAAAAATTGGGTAGCTGTTTATAATTTTTATAGATCCGTCGCCAAATTACCTCTCGTTTTTTGGTTCCTTTAATTTTTAAAAAATTGTTCTCAAACTTGGAAGGTACGGTTTCGCGTTTGTCGTTTTTGTTATTTTATTATTATCATCGTTATCTTCATTTTAGGTTTATATAAATTTAAAAAATATCATCTTGTTAAAATTAAATCTTAAATGTATGCGTTTTAAGATTTTTTTTAGTAGAGTGGGCACTTGCCAATTTACCATGGCAGGGGAGATGAACTGAGAAAAAAAAACTCTTGCAATCTGTAATGTAATCATAATTTACTCGACTTTGTCATGCTGGTTGATATGATATGTGAATTATGACGATATGCATGTTGTAAAAATTAAAATGTAAAGAAGCTTGCTATGGCAAACATTAAGTTTCTTGCCCAGGCATTGCAGGTAGTTATGCATGATGCTATAATTTATAATAGCTGTAAAAAAGTTAATATAACTTTTAATGTTTTAAAGTTAAAATGCCTACCCTATTCTCTAACACTAACTCTAAAAACATAAATAACGGCACTAGGCATGAAGCTTAGCATTTGTGGAAGCTATAACAATATACCTTTTGCTTCTATTATTTTATTTATTATTAAACTAATAAATCATTTTTTGTTTTGACCCTGACAATCAGTCTTCGACTTTAACATTTGCATATTTTCAAATGAGCAATGTATTTTTTTATAGTATAATATAAGTAACTCATCACTAACATTTAAGTAGTTGCCACTTTTGCTAAGTCCATGTACTTGTGCAATATAGAGATAGATATAGAAATAGTTTTGATTACATTTTTATTTCAACAAATAAATTAAGTTCGTGTTTTTTTTGCAAAAATTGTCTAGGGTAGTGTGCCAAAAGTTTAAAATCTTTAACAACTTTTTATTTAGTCTTTCAAAAATTGATACATTGCATACATTTAGTAAATTAGTTATATTTCAATTATTATTTCAAATATTTTTCCCCTTTGTAAATTTGTTTTCTAAACAAATTAATTTTACCCTGATCTATTTTTTTAACAATGTCTCACTGATTTAACAAGTTTGTTTTTTATTTAAAGAAAGAAGAAGATTGTTGAATTTTTATGATATTTTGTTAGCTATAATATTGCTTTTTTAAAATAAAAACAAAAATTGTTGACCAAATAAAAAAAGTTATAATATGTTTCATAATAAACATACACAAAAAGCACTTTATCTATGTAGTTGCTAAAATTTTTTAATTACCATTTATAATGCAGTCAAAAGATTTACTCCCAGAAATATTTAATTGTATTTTACATTGATATATTTTTGATAGCACAACTTTTCCAGGTTCTTTTTTAAGAACTTTAAGATTTACTCCTGTCTTGATTCCAATTCCTCCAATATTATATTTCTTTGTTATTTCAAGCTCATTTTGTTGATTCATATTTAGATGCCCTAATCAAAGTAACATCCTGTCAAATGAGTTTGAAATTAAGTGCTTAAAATTAAACTAAAGTTAAAAGTTGAGATTGAGGTTTTTTTATGATAATTGTAAGCTGATTTTATGAAAAATTATTGCAGATATTCATTTATTTTTAGTTATTTAGCATAATTTTGATTTTGGAATTTTAATAACAAAAATTTTAATTGTTCAACTCACTTTTTCAGTACAATGGCTGCTAAATATAATCTGTCAAGTTTTTTTGTTGATCACTGGATAAAAATGTTGGAAAATGAATACGGTGGGAGGAATAAATCTCAAAATGCAGCCAAGATTATTCAATCTACATTTCGCAAATACATGCTTCAAAAAAAATTTGTTAAACTTTGTGAAATGATAAAAAAAGAACCGCACTTTTCTTTCTTACCAGGAAAAAATATAGTCTTTTCTGAACAGTCTGAAGATGAAGAATTTTCAAAATTTGATTTGTTCAATAATGATCTTATTTTACACTCTCTTGTTCAAGATTATTTAGTTAATGAAAAAATAAAATTAGATCAAATCAATTCCAGGGAAATTAATAATTTACCCGAAAATTTTTATGATGTAATCATGTCTTACAAAAATATAGAGCGTAAACCAAATTCTGAATCTTCAGTAAGTCATGAAACTCTTCAAAATGATGAATCACAAATTGTTGAAGACGTGATCAAGCCAGAGTATGTTGATTCTCTTCAAAAAACTTCTTCGACCTCTCCGCTATTCTTTTATAATTCTTTAATTGAAGATTCATTTGTAAATTCTCGAAAAATGTTATACAAGGTCGGATTAAATCTCTTCAATAAGTTGGTTTGTTGTTATTCATTCGAACATAATACTAATATGATTTTAAATTATTACGAATTGTAGAAATCCGGAAAAAGGTATTAAGTTTTTGATAGAAAATGGCTTTATTGCTCAGAAACCTAGTGCAATAGCTAAATTTTTTCAAACGAGAAGTGGAATTTCGAAACAGATGATTGGTGAATATTTGGGAGATATTAACAAATCTTTCAACAACCAAGTACTCATGTAAAAGTTTTTTTTATAGCTTTTTCAAATATGATGAGGTATCTATATAGGCAACTATAATAAAACTTTCTGTTTCGTTTATAAAAATTAATTTTTTTTAATGTTATCCTGGTGCATATTAGTCTAATCAGTTCATCACATTTCCAAACTTAAGAGTTTATATCAGTGGCTATGCCATCTTCATACCTTTCAATTAAGGAGGACGCATTTAAGATGCTAAAAATAAGATTCATTTAATAAGTTTTTAACGTTAAAAGGAATATTTTTTTGGGTGTCCTTTTCTGGTCTTTTTAAAATAGGCAGTGCTGTCTTTGAACATGCCAAATTTTTTGTTTCAACCATTATAACCTATTCCGTAATTGAGTATATTGATTAAGCAATGTAGATTTAGAACCAGAATTTAACTTTTGATAGCCTGACGGTTTTGTGTCTATGACTTGCTTTTATTTTATTTGTTTGAGTAAATAGCTCATGCTGGATTAAGTTGATGTGAAGCTTGTGTAATAATCTAAAGTTAGGATTAAACGTTAAACAATCGTAAGCTTTTTGTCATGCACGTCATTTATTTTAAGAACCAATACAAACAGATATGAACATATCACTTGTGTTTCTAAAACCGGGTTTAATTTTTAACATAATTTTGCATGCTCAATTGTTTTCTTTTTCGTTACTAAAAAAAATTTATTTTACAGACATTTCACTGATCGAATTAACATTTCAAATATGAATATCGATGAAGCTCTTAGAAAGTTCCAATCTTTCTTCAGAATGCCAGTAATTTATTCATTTTCTAACAACATTTATTTATTTAATCTAATATTATACATTGATGTACGTTTACTTATGTGTTAGTCTGTTCTGTGCGTGTCTCTGTATAATTCTATTTTTCAAATTTGTGAATGGCGCACGTGGGTGTTTAAGGTCTCATGAACTAATTGTATCATTATTTTTTACAACTTTTATGCCAGTAAAATCTGTTAATTTTTTGACGCATTTAATAGTTTTTATTTTTCCGATATTTTGAAACCTTGGAAAATTAGAAAAAATTAGACTCACTTCTCACGAGTAAAAAGTTTGCTGCTGTCTTATAAAACTTAGTTGCAATTAAAAGCAAAAGAAATCGTTTGAGTATGACACGTGAACATTAAACCAATTTTGACATTCAACGCTTTTCGTTAAATCAGGATAAGAAGAACCTGAAGCATTTTGTTGAAGTCAGCTTAGTTGTAGAAATAAGATATGTATCGTGACAAATTATCAAATATTGATCTGTAAAACCAATGTAGTCATCAGACATACATTAATTGCGATAGAGAATGCTTGGTCATTTTCTCAAAATCGTGGGCAATACATCAGCAAAGATGTTGACAAAATCATTATCTAAACAAAAATCTATTATTTTAATCCCGTCAATAAGAGCAAAGCTCTTAGAAAAAAGACCTGGAAAGTCGTTTGCTTACTTCAGTATTTAATAAAAGATTACAAAATCTTGCAATGTGTTTGTGTTATATTGAGAGTTTAATGTTCTATTCTATATTATATACCAGTATATTTTGATTTATATATTTCATATTTTAGGGTGAAGCACAAAAAATTGAAAAGCTTGTTGAGGTTCGTTTTAATGACTTTTAACTATTCAATTTTTCAATCGTAGTCATTTTCATCGGTTGAGTATACAATAAATTTAGTTAGAGATTATTATTTTTTATTTGATACAAATGGGAAACTTTATTAAGGGGCTAATAAAATCCTAATATAAAATAAAAATTATTGAAATTGTGCATTTAAGAATGACAATTTCTAGTTTCTACTAAATTATGAAGAAAAAATATTTGAGCCTCATCTGGTTTAATTTAATTTATCATGATTGTTCACTTCTTTTATTGTCTGGATCTAAACTTTCTTCTGTACACATTTCGTAAGTTACAACTTACTTTCTCAGATTTTATTTTTGAGTACAGTAATGTAATTTTTTTCAAAATTCTCCAAAATTAGTCTTTTTTAACTGCATTCCAACAACATCCTGTTTTTTTTTACATGTCTACCCGCTTGTAACATGTCTACAAAGCAGCAGACCAAACCAACTTTTTACAAAAAATTTAACTTTTACTCCCATTAAATGCTTCTTTGCACTGCACTACATCTGATGAATCTAATTGTCTAATGACGCCTCTCATGTATTATGTTCTTTCTACCCATTTCTTTTTCACTCTTTATGAGAGCTTTCGATTCCACTCTTTTTTACTCTTTTTTTGCTATATTTATCTTTAGTTTTTATGATGTACAGTGCACCAACCTAACCTCTGTCCGACAGGTAACATCTGTGTTTATCAACTCCTTTCAAGTGCCCATCTATTCACCTTTCTTGTTTTGTTGATTATTGGTTTTTGCTATATCAACAGTCGAAAATTTAAACATATCAAAATAACGTTTTATATTTTAAATTAATGAGGAAAAAATATTTTTTATGCTATATTATGGAAAAATTCCTTCGTTAATGATAAAATGTACATAACCTTGTTGGATTTGTTTATCAACATTTTGTAATCTGCTACAGCCACTTATTTCCGTTATAAAACTACTGACAACTTTCTGAAATACTTAGTGAATCAAATTTCTAAGTTTTATTCAAGTAATTTTTTTCCATTTTCTTCTTCTTTTAAATATTTGCTTTTTTTCAAAAGGTTTTTTCCTTTCATTATTGCAAAAGTAACGTTTGTCTGGTCAGCCAGTTCAAGAGTGCGGATACGGTATTTTTACTCGCATTTGCCATCATAATGCTCAACACCGATTTACATAATCCAAATATCAAGCCAAAGAAAAAAATGAAAATGGAGGAATTTGTAAAAAATCTTGAAGGTTTTTTTTATATCAATGGATACATTGTTGTAAAATTATGACTAGAAAGTAGTTATAATTGATATTAATTTTCCAATAATTTCAATGGCTGTTTGGTTTTCAGAGTTTTCAATAAATATTTCAGCTCTCTAGGCAAATAATTCAATTACAAATGAGACATTCGATTACAAATATCCTTCCTTTATCAATTTTGAATATAATGTTAAATTTTATAACTAGGCACTTTTTTATAGTGTCTCAGTAAATACGTTGTCTCTATGTTTTTTTAGACATTTAATTCCTGTATATAATTTCTGAAATTGGTTCATTTTGAAAGGTGTTGATGGTGGAAATAATATTGACAGGAATTTCTTAACCCACTTGTACGAAAATATTTTAAATGAACAACTAATACCTGCCGCCGATCACACTTCACTTGTCCTGAAAATTGAGAAACTCATAGTCGATAAAAAACCAGTAGGTAATTTTTTCTAGCGTTATATACTGATTGTTTTAGTGCGATGGTATGTATTTTTAAAACTGACTATTCTCTTCGTTGACCAAATTTACAAAAATGTCCTCAATGTGTAAATGTAATTTTGGAATTGTTTTAGCTACTAGTTGGGTAGTTTCGTTTGACTAACTCAATTTAAAATCTTATCTTGTCATAGTGCTCCCATCTTGTTAACCGCTCTTGAAATGTGGTTTTATATGATTGTTTTTCGGTTTAAAATTTGAGATTAGTATCATTAAATAGACTGAGCCATTCATGGAAGTTATTTTAGTTTACGTATTATTGCTGGACTAATTCGATATTTGGTTTTGCAGTTTATAGATGTAAATATTGCTGATTCTTCAAAGGTTTTTGTAAAGTTTTGAAATTAACTTAATATTGATTAATTAATTAATTAATTAATTAATTAGTCAATCAACGGAAATTCAGATGAAATGTTTTTTTAATTATGTTAATCAAACTTTGAAATTTTTTTAATTTTAGAGATTGGTTCTTCCTTACCGACGTTTAGTATGTTATTGCAGATTATTTGAAATTAAGGATTTATGTAGGAAAGAGAGGCTGGACTCACATCAAAGAGAGATCTTCTTGTTTAACGATTCACTACTCGTATGTATTTTTATTTATAGATATTATTTGTGTTATTCTTGTGCATTAAATTTCTGTGAGAAATCAGTTCGAAATAGTCTTTGAATTCGATTTTTAATTTTAAATCTACTTTAGTTTTTATAAAGGTTGATAATTAATAATTAAGTTTTTGGTATGTGTGAAGTACTTTTTTTGTCAGCATCAAATTTTGAAGATTGTAGCTGTATGGGTGTAATAATGATATTTCTTGTTTTTTTTTACAGAATTTTTTTCGCTATCGTTAAATTAATAACATAGTTTCAGACGCATTCTTCATGAAATTTTACAAGTTTTCAACTAATTTAAATGGCAAAAGTTGAAGAGTAGTGGAATGATATTATTGTTTATGAGTTATTATAATTATTATTAAACAGATATTAAAGTTGCACAACAGAAAAAAAAATTTGGCCTACAAGTTCAAACAGTTTATCCTTTTGGCTGGATTTAAACTTATTATTTTTAATAACAATTGTGAGTTTCCAAATAAACTTTTTGTCTTATAAATATTTTAGTAAAGAATTAGTTACATCAATTTTACCAGATTATAAGTATGGTGTAATGCTGAAACCACGAATTTGTGACTATCCGAATATAAGTTTTAATGCCAGGAACAATAGTGACCAAATGAATTTGATTGAAGATCTGAGGGAAGTCATTGGCGAGGTTTTTATTTAAAATTTGCAAAAATTATTCAACATTTTACAAAAGAGACTCAAAAATTTTAAATATTAAAAATAACTTGACATCCTTCATGCACAGCTCTCTTAATCTCTTAGTCGTTACTTTTTTTATCGCAATGCCAACTGGCTTTGAAGCGCAATAATCTACCAACACCAAATCAGATTGTTGTGTCGTTGATTGGTTGTCGGATAGATTATTTCCCATGAGCGTGTATTTACTTTTATAATGTTTATATTAAATAAACAGTGCTTGAGATCTCATATCAATTACAAAATTCAATAGAAAATAACGTTGCAGAGTAACAAAATGGAATCGATAAGAATAGACGAAGAGTTGGAGAAACAACGGCTGAGAAGAATGAACAAGGAATTTGTATGTGAAGAAGACCTACTAAATACTGTAAAATGTGAAAATACAAAGAATCTTGGATCGTTTAGACTTTCTGACATTGAAAATTTTAAAATTCGAAAGCATGTGTCTCATTCCCTTGCAGATATTTACGTAAGTTTTAAAGCGATTTCAATGTTATTATAGTTTTTTATACTAAAACTTAAATGTTAAATATTGAAAAGTATTACTATGATTAACTCCAGTATTGGTGAAGAATACGCGGCTTTTCCCGCATTGATATGCTCACTCTTACACTGAATTAAGTTTCTACCCATAAACCTTTACATTAATTAATCCTATCATATTTTGGTTGTATTTTCTCAGAAATTTGTGTAAAAAATTAATTTTAAAACCGTATAGAATTAAAATAGGTGAAGCTTAATATTATAAAATTTGAAAAATATTGTGTTATATAAATGTGCAGTTATGCACATGGGGAAAAAACGAAGGCTTTAATTATCAATTTGGCAATAAGGAGCTACGATCAACGCAAGAAGAAAAAGATCTTGGAATCATCATTCTTAAAAACACAAAAACATCGCGGCAATGTACTGTGGCTGCGGCCAAAGGAAATCAAATGCTTGGATTCATTAAAAGAACAGTGGTCAGCAGGGAGAAGTCGATCATTCTATAACTGTACAAAACCTTCTTGAATTCTATGCTCAAGTTTGGAGTCCAGATCTGCAAAAGAAAAAAGAGGTTTTGGAGAAAGTAAAGCGGAGAGCAACAAAGATGATCAAAGGACTTGAAAATCTTGAATACAAAGATAGATAGAAAGATTGTAGATTGACAACATTGGAAAAAGAAGATGCAGAGGAGATCTGATACAGGCATACAAATTGATTACCAAGAAAAAAAAAAGAAACACTGTTTACCAAATTTTTTAACTGGAGTATAGAATGGCCACAGATATAAGCTCTCCAAAAAATAGAATGTGTCGTCAAGCAAAGATTCTTCAGCAGTAGAGTGGTAAACACGTGGAATGATCTGAGTAATGAAACGGTCTCCGCTGAATCAATCAACAGTTTCAAGATCAAACTCGGAAAGTTAGGATATTATAACACACTTATCTCGCAGTAGTTCTCACACAGACTCTAATCTATTAAACCATTTTAAACCCTGTTTTGTTATGTTGTTATGTTATTTATGCGTTCGTTTAGTGTCTTTGCTCAAAACTATGGGGAATTCAATTTTATTTCTGTTAAATATCGATTTATATTTTAAATTATTTTTATATTTTCAGAACAAACCAAAAGAACCATTTGAATAACATAATTCAGCAACTACTCGCAATGTGTATGCTACTTTCACGTACACCGATTTTACGTTAAAAGATGCTGACGTGTTAGTGGTTGTTACATATTGGCTTTTATTTATCATTCGGAAACTTTTCCATGCATTATCAATATCACCGTTCCAAGTTGAATTTAAAAGTTTTTTTTGTGAAGGAATGTATCTATTCCTTATATTTATATTTGTTTCCATTAAATTAATAAAAAATACTTAAAAGCATTTTGTTGTGAGATTTTGTTAGCTATACCCTTTATAAATGTGATAATAAATTTTCTACTTATATATATTATGTTGCTTAACATTAATTAGACATTAAATTATTGTATATATGGGGCATTTATCTATTTATTCGTGTTTGTGTTAACTTCTTTTTCCATCTATTCATTTTTTACTAGTCAACTAATTTCGTGTTATTTCTGAAAAGAAATCAGATTAGAATACTTTTTAAAATGATTATGTTTAGTTTTGCCAATAAAATATTCAACTTTTGAATCTTGTTTTTGATACTTTTATTGTATAAAGAAATCAGGTTTCCACATTTTTTCTTTAACTTTCATTGCTAACCGTTGCTAATGTCACCACTGTTCCAAAACCCGAAACAAACGTTACTTTCGTGTTTTGCAGTTTTTAGAGAATGTTATTGTTAAACAAAACTTACCGTTAAATAAAATTTATAACGGGTTAAGGTCAAAGGCAAAGAACACAAAGTAAGAGCAAATTATGTGTTTTTTTTATTATTGAAATTCAATTCAAAATTGTTGAATGTTGGGTTGATCACAATGATAAATGGTATGATCACATTCACCACATTCATTCGAGATTCATCATTCACATTCATCATGTCCGCATATCGTACTAATTCTAAATAAACAGTCATAAAGAGTTGTAAACATGCCATATAACATAACTGAAAATTAGAATTTAGAATCTAAGTTCAAATTTTCAGTCACAGTATCTTGTTTCTTATTCTAACTAATTGATTCATCGTTACATAATTTTAATAACTCACATAATAATATAATACTTCATCACAAGATGAGATAAATGATACCAACAATTATTAATAAATTAACATAATAAACATATATAAATTAGTAAAATATTAGAAATTAGAAGAAGATGTATTATAATTTAGAGACTATAATATAAAATATAGCCAAGGATTTTTAATAGTCAACTAATAAATACTAAATAACTTGTTATATGAAAATTAATGGTAATTAGTTTGGTAGGCTTGTTTAATTTAAAAAAGGCCTGCTAAATTTTTAATTTTATATTGAAAAATAATAATTTTTAAAATCTATATAATGCAAATATATGATACATATTTGACTAAATTCAAACAGTTGTACAGTGTTAAATAAATTTTTCAAGTTTTGTAATAATTTTTACTTTAAATAAATCATTCAATAAATTAAAAGCTGTCTATGGTATATATGAATCACTATGGATTGATTAATTCATTTAATGTCTAATGATTAGGCATGTTTTAAAAGTTTTTATTTATAATAGTATGATGATTAACTATTCAAATTTGTTTCATATAATTATAATACAATAGCTTCTAATATGATAGCTTAGTTTTAGTATAATAGCTTCTCCTAATATTTTTTTAGTTTTAATAGTTACTAAAATTTTTTCTGCAAAAGTTTTATCATATATTTAGGAGCCAAACAAAAGCCTACCCAACAAATTTTAAAGCCATAATGTCAGAAGAAAAACCCCAAAGTCGACACACACCTAATCTCCAAGGAATATTAAGATTTTGTACAGAAATTACTACACATGAAAATGATACAGGCTCAACTTTTTCTTCAATGTCTGAAGAGGTTTGTTTATATATAAATACATAATGCACAGACATGTGTTTAGTCATTACTTATATAAATGGGTTGCTAATTTGATGTTCAACTCATAATGCTAAAAAAATTGACTGTTCATAATTTTCATTCACGTCATATTTTTTCTCTTTAGTCATCAATTTTTTACCTGTCTTAAAATAAAAGTTAAATGTTATGACTCTAAACTTTCAGTATTTTTTTCTGTTAAGAAGCCTGACAAATGAATAGCTGCTTACAGATGTTTTTTACTTAGTTACAAACTAAACAGACTGTGACATTTATTTAACACGATGTACATATTCATCTGTATCTATATGAACTTTTGCATCCTATGCTCAAAGCATTTGATGGCTTTTGAGTTTTGGGCCATTAGCAATTAAACCTGGTCACCATGCACTCTTGCTGTTTGAGCTTTCCAGTTATCAATGTAATAAGCTGCTTCAAAAATATTATGGTATTATCTTTAACCTCTTTACATTGCTATAACCGTGTGTTTCATTTAATCAAAGAAAATTGCATTTGTTGGTCAACTTTAGGTACTTAGTTTTATCTGAATTTTACCTTTTTTTACTTTTTTTCTATCATATTTGAAACAGCAAAAGCAATGGTTGAAGGATGCTCTAGAGTCAGTTGGTGCAAATGATCCTGTGAAGAAAATGATTGAATATCTAAAAATAATTTTGAAAAGTTCTGACTCTGGTGATTTAAAGAATGATGTAGAACAAAAAGAAGTTGCATTGGAAGAATTAGCATGCTTTTGTGAAGATATTGATTTAGCCAATGGTTAGATTTTTTATTTTCTTTTTTATGTATTTGTGGGGATTGCAATAAAATTAAATCATTTGAAAATGTAATTTATTATTTTGTCACAACTCGCTTCTTTGTTATAATTTTAATGATAAGAAATTGTGTAAGGAAGGCTTATAAGATAAAATTTAGATATAATAGTAATGGTGTGTTGGGTTAAAGTGTTGTTTTCTTCTGTGTGAGAGCTGCAGAAGTTAATGGAAATGGCTCTAAATAAATAAATAGTAAAAAATTTAAAGACAAATAGATATTCAGTTTGGTGAAAGTACATTTGATGCAATTTTTATTATATAATTGTGTGAAAAAATATTATGTTAATTGTAAATTTATTATGCATTTGTCAATTCATGACTAATGTTATTTCAAAGATGCGTTTTTAAAATGAACTATTAAGATGTAGTAGATCTATGATTCAATAGGTGACTCAGATGATTTATTTGTCCAAGGCCATTGCCTAACTGAACGAGACATGGCATTTCTGCAGAATGAGCTAAATGGCCAACTAATTTGTTTTTAAATTAAGTACTTAAAATTAAACTGATTTTGACATTCATTTGCTTCTTAGTAAAGCTATTTATTTTATTTGGAACTTTTTAGCATAATACGTTCTTATAAAAATTTTAGTTCCTGTTTGCCATTTCCCGGTTTTCCCGATTTTAAAATGTTGCTTATTTTCAGGGTATTTCCCGTTCCTGATATTTCTGGGAACAAAACTTAGTTATATATTTTGCTAATGCAAACATAAAAAATGTAATGCTTCGTTTGTAAGGTTATCTCCAAGTTCAGTTTTAAATGACATGTTTAGATTGCTATCTTTTCTGCAGATCCTCCTGTTAAGTTATGAAAACAATTACCAAGGCATGTACGCACACTTTTGTCACATTTCCAACAGAATATTTCAGTCCTTATATATTTTTCGTCAAATTTTTGTTAATACTAAAATATCATACCAATTGATTATTCATATAATTATTATTTGATTAAATTATTTGATTGATATATGCTAATATGTACATCACATTTTCCAGATTTCTACAAAATAGGTGGTTTTGACATATTTCCACTATTACTTAATGGCTCTGATGAATCCTTGAAATGGAAGGCAGCAGAGTTGTTGGCTGTATTAATTCAGAACAATCCATTCTGTCAAGAAAAGGTTTTGGATGGTGGGATCATATTAGAAATTTTGTTACAAAAATTAAAAAATGAAAACGAGTGCACAGATGTCAAAGTTAAATGCTTATACGCTGCGTCATGTTAGTATAATTATTACTTTGTAAATGTTTTTAGTACTTCTTTGAATGATCCCTGTCTTCCTAAGTTAACTGGTGTTATCATAATTTTTTCTCATCTTCTGATCGGCATTTCTTATTGATTCTATTATGATATTCACTCACACACTCCACCAATTATCAGCTTTTATAACACTGATGCCTATCAAGTTCAAATCTTCAGTTACTTTCTCATTGAATTACTCATAGGAAGTTATAAAAAAGCGCTTGACCAGAACTATTTATTAGCTTTCTCCAATTACCTAAGCCTAAATTGGGTATCCTTGCACTAATTATAACGCTGCAATAAAAAGCAATGGATTCAACTAAGAGTCCTGGCACACAATAGTCAACCGTTAAAGCAAATAACTTATTTTATCCCCTGTCATTCTTGATTACTCATGATAAATAATTAGTAAAAAAGACAAAAATGCAAGTTAAGACCGTAAAACATTATCTATCTAGATTAAAATTCGGGTTGCCACTTTTCCTCTAGCCAAAAAAATTAGCTAGTCAACTGGGATGATAACTTTGTATGTACGATAAATAAATCAATCAATCAATCAATCAAGCCGTGTAGGAACGTTCAGCTACTGTTTAAGCAGGTTATTATACGCAAATGGAAATGTCGTTAACGTGTTATTTTTATTTTTCTTATAGCTGCATGATTTTAATTTCAAATCGCTTTATTGCTATTTACAGCAATTTAGGACAGTTATTCTCTGTTTTCAAGACATATAACTTAAGTATGTGATCTGAAATTCATCCCAGTATATACGAGGTGTCGACCCTAAGAAGCCTTTGCAATCCATTTTGTGAAAAGTGGCAACCCAAATCTGAATATGACATTCAAAAATTTTTTATTAAGGTTTGGCTAGAGAATGTGAAAGAGGACGAAAGGAACTAATCAAACTCAATGGTCTAAACGCCATTATTAACTTGATGCATTCTGACGTTGAAAAGCTTCAAATTAAAAGTCTATTTTTGATCAATTCCTTATGCATAGAATCAAATGAAATTAGAGGTTTCATTCTACTTTGGAACAGTTGTTTAACAGTTTCACAAACTCTACTTAAATTTTTTGAGTCAGATTTGCTAAATAGCCTGAACATCATGGATGATCTAACGCAATTAATACAATCTGAAACGAGTACTACAGTTCATGGATTTGCAGTCAAAGCCCTCATAAATTTGATCCTAGATAACGAGCTAATGAGAGAAAAACTGAAGAGTGCAAAATACGACCTAAAAGCCTCTTTAGAAAAGAGATTGAATGGCTTAAAAGAAGATAAAGATTATCAAGTTATTTTAAACTTTTTTCACAAAACTATTTAATCACTAATAAAATTTATATAATTTATGCAGGAGGAGGTTGACGAGTTGAAGCTGCTGTTAAAAATATTTGATTAATTTACTAGCTAATAATATATTGATTCGAAAGACTGTTTCTGAGCCATTGGCATACTGTGCTGATGTTAATAAAATGAAAAACAAAGCCGAAAATTTTCGTTTTTTGCAGCCACGCTCACTGTGTTTTAGCTTTATTAAAATTAATTATTAAAAATTGTTTTGACAATTCAATAAAATAATTGCTGAATTCTGCATTATCAATCATGACTAAGAATTACATCTCATCTTGGCTGGTTGATGTTGTGTTTGGGCATGCAGTGTTTAGGTTCTTTTGATGGCAGTGGTGACTCATGGTAAGACTTTATGGCATTTGCTGGAAATGCATCTTTTTCCTTCAAAAAAAGTTCATACGCATTTATGATAACAAATAAAAGTTATTGAATATAAAGCATCTGTGAAGAGTAATCATTAGTTAACTTAAACATGACTTTGCAACAGCTGAATCAATGAATTATCAGCTAATTTTCCAAACCGAAGTTATTTTTTTACTTTTAAAAAGGAAAACTAACAATAGATAATTTTTATTTTATTTCACAATTTTTATTTGTAATTTAACTTAATGAATAACATCTCAGTCAATCCACAATTTTTGTTTGTAATTTAACTTAATGAGTAACATCTCAGTCAGTCTTAGAGCTATATGTAGCAATATCCTGTATTTGAAATAACCATGGTAGAAATGAAAAATATGAAAAAAGAAGAGGAAAAAATGGAATTTCAATTGAATTGATAATAACATGACGACTAGCTGCACTACAAGTAATTTGTAAAATCTGCTAGCATCCCGTGTGGATGGCTTACAAAAGCCTGTTGAGATGACACATGAAGGCAGTAAGGATTGACGGAGTGATGATATCAAGGAAAAAATGAAGACAGTGTCAATTTCAAACTGAATTGTAAAAATAAGGGAAAGCTGACCAGTCTGTTTACATACAGTCCTCTAACTGGCAACAACCATTGTTCAAAAAGAATTGACAAGAAAGAGCCATCGCAAGATGCCATTGCAATGTTTACACGTTAAAAAAATATGGTAAACAAAACAATGTTTAAAATATTATGATAAAAACCTGCATTTTATATGTGAAAAACTTGGACGATAAATAACAGATCAAAAGCATTTGAAATGAAGTGATATATATTTGCTTAGATTCAGTTGGAGATGAAAGTTGATAAGCAAAATATGACGTTTTGGCACTTTCTATTCATCAAATCAAATATTATATGCTAACTCTATAGAAAAATCATGATCTAGACATCAAGATAAGATAATGCTATTCTTAAGATAATGCTATTCCTGAAAAAAGGAACAATGAAATTTATAACTATGTTAACCAAATTAAGAAAACTGTGTTAACAAAAATTTACATTAGATTAACATTAACCATTTTTGATAATTTAAAAAATTTAACACAAACTTTTACAACTTGACCTGCAACAACAACATCCTTGTTAGTTTTTGGTGGACTCCTAAATTTGATGTATCATGATTTATTTTATAAGTAAAGAGTTTGGCCTATCTTTAAAAAATATTAATCTAAATTATTTATTGATATTATGGTATGTATGAATGGGCAATTAATGTTGTAAAATAAAACAAAGTATTTAATTTTTTTAAAGTATTTAATTTAATTGAGAATTAAAAACAATAAGTACCCAGAACCAAATTCTTCAATTTCTTCTTTGGTCATCACTTCAGGTTTTTGTTCTGAACCTGAAGTTTTGTGAGTTCTAGCAATCCTCATACCACCTGCTTTCACTTGCATTTTAAGCATTAATGAATTAATAAAAACAATTCATCTAATACGAAAAGTTGGAAATTTTCAGTATTTTATATTTTGCGCATGATATGAGAATGAATGATTTGATATTACATTACAAGACATAATTATAATTGTAACTACATACATATTGTGAGCACGTTGTCCAAGTTACTTTTTTAATTCTAGACAATTTATTAACTTTAAATGGGTTTACATCTCATACACAGAATACATAATCAGTACTTTTTATACTTTTAAATATAAATAATTAATAAATAATTAAAACATATATAAACAATTAATAAAGGAAAGGGATAGATGGTCTGGTTGGCCTCCTGGTGACTTGCTGACTTATGAAAAACAATCAATCTTACTTTTCTCAAAACAACTTGCAAAAATACGCTGAAAACAATTTAAGTTTTGTTCCTACCTGCAGGTGGGTGACCAGCGAGTAACTTAGGCTCCTCTTCGGACGACATTATTTTAAAAAATCTTAAAAAATACGAGAGGCCACGTATTAGAACTCTAGTTAAAATAGATAGACCCTAGACAAAATATATTGAAAATATTTTTTCTAGTCCATGGTTATAAATTAATTTTTATGCCATATCCATTATATCCATGTTCTAGCCACAAGCTAAAATAAGTTTTGACCATGGATATATATATATATATCCATGGTTTTGACAATAAAAAACAAATATTAAAATTTTAACAATTTTATCAGTGTCGGCGTCACTTTTGTTATAATTCTTTCTGTTGGTCTGAAACTTTAGACTGAAATCGTCCTGTTGTACTCTTATCATTATTTAATATTCTTTAATGCAATGTTGACCAGGCACTTTTGTTATAATTTGTAAAGACAAAATCACGAAACCTTCATGGAATTGTAGTTGGGTATTAAAGACAATGACGTGAACGTTATTTGGTCAACGTTGAAGTCAAAGTAAGTGCTACTGCAAAGTTTTTATGAAACTAATATGTTTTGAGTTAGAAATTGTTTTAGGACAATAAAACTTTATTTGCCCATTCATCAAAAAAATTTAGAAAAAAAAGTGGTTGCATTATTCTATATAGAATTAAATTTAGAAAAAAAAGTGGTTGCATTATTCTATATATATATATATATATATATATATATATATATATACATATATATCAATATATATATCAATATACATATGTGGTCAGAGGTCAGAGCAACAAAGTAGTTTCCATCTACAAAAAACCTAACTTACGAGGATCGTCTTAAAAAGTTAAAATTAACAACTTTGGTGGAAAGAAAAAAAAGAGATTTGATTCAGTTGCTTAAAATCATGCAAAATTTGGACAAAGATGATTTAAATAACCGTTTTAGCATAGTCAAAACCAAAACGCGAGGTCACTTTTTGAAATATTTTAAAGAATTAACAAGAATAGAGGCAGAAAAAATTACTTACTCAATAGAGTGGCAAATACATGGAACTCAAATGAACTTGTTATGGCACAATCAATAAACAATTTTTAAGCAGGTATTGATTGCTGGATGAACAACAATCAATCAACGAATCGGCTGCGCTAGCATGCATGACAGCATGCTCTCCGGATAACCTCCAAAACACCTTTACTACTACTACTACTACTACTAATACTATGGTCGCAATTGATTAGCTTTTAATATACTTTTAAACTTTTTGTTGTTTACTTATCTTTGGTCGCAAAAGCTGTAAATTGTTGCGGGTATTAATGTTACAGATTATCGTCCGTTTGTTTTCGATAGTTCTGCTGCAATGGTCTGTTTAAGTTATATTTTCCTTTTTCCGAGTTCGAATTTTTGTATTTACCTATCTGCTTTTTATTGAGTTATAATAATTGTAATTTTAAAACTAGGAAATCGTTTAGGTTTATATGTTTGGCATAAAACTTACTATGTTCATAAAAAATCAGAATGTGCTGAAGCTCCTCCCACTAGGCTGGGGACTAGTCACTAGTAGGACTTCTGGACTAGTTTGGTCCTTTCTTACGTGACATTGCTCCTTTATAAATATAAAATTTATATGCTTATGCCTTATATATAGCTAATTAAATTAAACTAATAAATAAAAGATATAAAATTTAGAAATACTAACAATCAAATTATTAAAAAAACAAACATAATTTCACTTCCTTTCTGATTTTGTAAAAGGTGTTAAAAAGGAAATAAAAATAGACAGTATCATAGATACATATAGATAGATATTTTTAAATTGTAATATCATAGATAAATAAATACAATACAAATACTCAAATAAAGATGATATCATACACAAATTGATGTTGATGGTTGTATTGCATATGAATTAAATTAAGTTAAATTTATTTTCTTAAAGCTTTTTCATTCGTTTTTCAAATCTTTGGTTGGGAAGGATGTTGTTGTTGAATTAAAAAATGACCTCAGGTATACATATCTATTTATTAAATTTTACTATACTATTTGATCCATATTATATGTGAATGATTTTACTCTTTAATTGTTAAATAATATTTATCGAGTTAATTTAGAGGTTCCTGTTGTAATAGTAATTATTTAGAGCAGAGGTGGGCTAACATTTTGCTCTGAGGGCTGCATTGAGAACTATTTTACCTTTGATGGGCCGCATATGTACTTGAATAGCAAATTTTTTTGACCTGGCGGAGAATTTTTTCATGATTTGTGGCACCTTTTTTGGTCATAATGTCTGGCTGACGACCTTTTTTGGTGAACTAGGCCTCAGGGGCTGCACAAAATTACTTTACGGGCCACATAAAATGTGGACTGCCGGCCATTGTTTGCCCACCCCTGATTTAGAGAAATGTGAAAATGCTATCAAATGTATAAATTAATTTTGATTTTTTCAAGCATATGTGGAACACTGCATTCAGTTGATCAGTTTTTAAATATCAAACTGACGGACATCAGTGTAATAGACCCAGATAAATACCCACATATGGTTACATTTTTTAATAATTTTAAAAATTCCCATTACTAATTTTTTTAACAGTTATTAATCTAAAAATCTAAGATTGAAAATCAATTTTACTAGCTTTCTGTCAAGAATTGTTTCATTCGTGGATCAGTAATAAGATATATCCAGCTGCCTGCTGAGGAATGTGATACACAACTTCTTCAAGATGCTGCTAGAAAGGAATCAGCACAAAACAAGCAAAGATCATGATATCACAAAAGCGTGATAATTCAGGCTAAATATAGCTAATATACAAATATATATATGTTTGTTTGTATGTATGTAGGTATGTATATATAATTAAATCCATGTTTATACGTTAGTGACTATTTTTCAAGATTTTTAATTTTTGGCAGACACAACGCAAATCTCCAAAATTTGTTTTAAATGTTTTGTTGAACTGTGTCAAGTTAAAATAATGTTGGTTTTGGTATGTTAATATATGATAAATAACAAAAGATTTTTATAAGGAAAAGTAAATGAAAGAGTGTCTCGTTGGTCCATCGTATATTGTAATAGTGGGCCAATTGTTGCACCAACTTATTGAAAAATTTTACTTGTTTATTTATTAATTATAATTACGTTTTAAATTTGACAACTCGAACAAAATCCTTCACGGCACTGAGACAATTCTTGTAAAAAAAACTGTTGATTTGAAAAATTTCAACACTGTAAGTTGAAATGACAAAAACTCCTAAAAAATTATTTCCATTTGTTTCACTTGACCATCCACCACAGCAAAGAGAAGAGTGCACTTTTGAAGTCAACTACTCATGAAAAATGCTGTACAAATTCATCAGTACAATTTTAGACATACAGACACATGATATATAGTATATACACAAGATTGTGTTAAGACATAGACACATCCATCATTGTCGTAATTTTCATACACGCACCACCAATTTTAAACATCTTAATTGTCTTCATTTAGATTTTTTTTCGGAATATGCGAAAAATGTAGCGTAAATTAAATCTAATTCTATTTTGAAATCCCAAAATCGAATGAATATTTAAAATAACATCCCAAAGAAGCCTGTTGATCGAACCAAAATTTTTCAAATTTAATGTCTGACAATATGCAATAATCTATGAGTTATTCATTAATTTAAAAGGAAAGTTGTCACCCATTGGTAAGTTTTTATCGCTTTTAAGATTGAAGTTCTTTGATTTGAGAATACCCATTGTTGGCCAAATTGATGGTTAACGTGGTGTTGCGATCTTCAAAGGTGAAATGTCGTATAAATTCATTGGGAAAAAGATCGTTGAACATTTCATGAATTGTCTTTTCGTACGACCATTTGGGCTGGTGCAGGTTTGATGAGTCTTTCATAGACAACAGTATTCTTGATTTATCTGTCAGATTCATTTACAAAGTATTTTTACATAATATCTGAATCACATTTTATCTTTGTTAAATCTTATTTTCACTTCATCCGCCTACGTTATTTGTTTTCCTACCTTGCCCTCTTACCCTTGATGTTTACCAGTGATGACGTAAGTACTCAAAAAATGTACTTAAGTATAAGTACTAAGTACTCAGTGATAAAAGTACTTAAGTATAAGTACTAAGTACCGAAACAGATTGTATACTTGATACTTATAAGTACTAAGTATAAGTACATAAGTACCTAAGTACATACCATGGTTAATTTGAAATATTTATAAATTTATTAAACTCAGAAATCAACTCATTATTTACAGTAATTTATTTACATCAATAAAAGAGTTTGTTCTTTTTGAGTAAAAGTAAAGTTTCAAATGATTCATCACTTAAACGATTTCTTCCAGCCTGGCTAAATATACGTTCCACACTTTAACACATATATTTATAAGGATTGTTATATATATATATATATATATATATATATATATATAATAACTACTATATATAGCGTGCATGTGTATATAGATCATGTAGAGTCTATGATATAGATATATAGATGTCAGAGTGATGTGAGTTAACCACCTTTTAATGACTCAATTAGCCAATGGTTATCTTAACATCCCGCTATCCATGACTAAACAAGAACAAATGTTGATAAGAGAGATAAACAAGAATGTCAATGTGAAAATGTGTGTGTGTGTTTTCATCACAGTTTTCAATTTTTAAATGTTGACATTATCTTATTTTTGCTTAAAATTTTTCTGGTACTTACAGGAAAAATTTATTACTTATAAGTACAAGTACTGAAAAATGTACTTAAGTATAAGTATTTAAGTACAGATTTTCATATGTACTTAAGTATAAGTACCTAAGTACTACATTTGTACTTAAGTACGTACTTAAGTACAAATGTACTTAAGTACTCGTCATCACTGATGTTTACAACATTACAAAGCATCTCGATCTCCATAATTAATTCGAAGCATCTATTTGTACTACTCTACAACCATTTTTTAAAATATAATTTAAGTTTCTATTTGCATGTAAATGGGATAACTAAGGTGTCGGAATCGGACACAAAATTTTTTTCTCCGTCACCGGTACCTTGATGGAAAATTTTCCGACTCGGGGTAAAAATTTTCGATTCCCAGAAAAATTTGTCAACTTTTGCTTTATAATTTATTAATTTTACTTGAATATCATTGTTAAATTAAAGATAATTCAAAATCATTTTAAATCAGTCGATGTAATTGATTTTCTTAATAAAATCATTTTATAATTAAGTTTTAAAATCTACTGAAAGATGATATGTTTTCGTTAATGGTATTGGCGGTTTTGTCTGATTAAGATAGCCATGAAGTATATTTTCTTTTTAAAAACAACTGGCAACTAGCCTTGGCCTACAAGCAGTTTATGCTGTTCAACCCAAGTTATTTTCTAGCCTTATAAACCAATTATTTAATTCTTCAAGTTTCCAGGTCATACCATTCCTTGTTTTTTACTCAAAGCCCACCATCACCTATTCATTTATATTCATCACTCGAATATTACACATGTCAATATTTATGTTACGAACTACAACCCCAAATAAACAAATGAATAAAAACCATGGATATATATATATTTATATCCATGATAAAAAAAAAACTAACGTGGAGGTGTATAATATGTAGGTGCCAAAATATCTTTAGATAAGTCGATTGTATTCCAAAAACTCGGATATAGGGGTAGACAAAACGCAAAGCTGACAGCCATGAATAACACCAATGTCTGCTTTCAATAGAACATACATTTAAATAAAACTATATTAAAGCTAAGCCAATTAAATACTTATTTTAAAACTTATAATGCCTTCATGTTTTTAACAGGCTCATTTGTCTTCTACAATAACAACTCTTCTAAAGAATAATGATCATGCTCAGCTTCTCACTCTTTATTTTTCTAAAGCTTTGGATGCTCCGAATCATTCTTCTCTTTTGAATAATTTATTTTCTTTACCTTGAACTGATCACATATACAATGCCATTATATCATCTTTATAATAAATTAACGTTCTATTCTTTTGTTTACAGTTATCAATCGATTCTTTTGTGGGCTTAAAGATCTGTCCTTGAACCGCTTTTATCATTAACCTCTCAACTCTTAATACTCTTGTAACTTAATTTCAATAAATCATTCGAGCCGATCGCCCATAACAAGCGCAAAATATACAAAATAATCAATTGAAAATATTAGGCTTCGCCTCTTCTCCGCACTTAACATTGCACGAAATGCTACTACATCATCACAAGATGTTTCCAAACATATAACGCGCTAAAAACACCGCGCGCACTCAAAAGTAGCAAATTATCCGACGTCACGCCACCCATTCTCTACCACCGTTCTATCATCAAAACAATTTTCGTCAATGCAACTTAAGTACAGTGTCATCACTCTTTCAAGATTAAACCTTAATTCCAGGATCTAAAATAATTTAGTGATGAATAAGTCTGTTGTTCGCATAATTTTTTTTCTCTATAGTATATACGATATTACTTTTTTCAACTAAATTACTTTTTCATACTAAAATTAGAGATTAGCTCAATATTTTATGTGCCTCATTAATCTAACATTGAATATGCAAAGCAACATGAGCGAAAACCATACCATGAATATTGCAGGCTTTTTTGATGACAACGAACGAAGGATTTGCTGAAGATTTTGCAACTGCAATGACAATGACCTTGCAAGGCGATAAAAACCAAAATTATAAATAAATAAAATTATTTAAGCACCATATCAATTTCAAAATTTTGAAAAATGTAGCTGTCAGTAGTATAAAAAGAGACTCGAGTAAGAAAAATGAAATTAAATAAAAGTCTATTTGACTTCAAAATGAAGATCAGGATGACTGAGGAGTTGCAAGAGAACAGCTACAACTTGCGCTTAAAACCAGCTAAAAATATGTGGAAAACAATGCAATGACGTCATTTTAATAATTTGCGTAATTGAAATCAACCACAGGGTGTGTTTTGAAAACATAAATTAATTTTTTCAATAAAAAAGGCTACATTAGTTTTTGGCCTGTGAGGCCTGTCGGTGGATTTTTGCCAAATTCCACAGGAACCATTTTCTTTATATGCAATATAAACTCTAAAAGATATTTTCATTAGATTCTGTTCAGCGGTTCAGGAGTAGATATATATATACATATATATATATATATACATGTATGTATATAAATATATCAGCCAGTAGATATATATAAATACATATACACATACATTTTTTTAAATTATTTAATTATTAGTGCTACATTCATTTATATATACAAATAGATCAATCAATCTTCGTTTTGCGTCCAGAGACCCGGTTTCCCGAGGTAGGACGTTGTTTTCTTTGCCATCAACTTTTATATACATATAGATAAAACTGTATAACTTATCAAATTTAAAAAAAGATGGTATTATTCAGTGTTTCGTGATTTTTTCAACATTTAATTCAATTCATACTTAATAAAATATTCCTCTTTAGTATGAATTCTCTATTAAAACAAACATACATATAAAACAACAATCATAGTTTGTTAAGCTTATAAATACTTGTTATTCAGCTCCAATGCCCCAACGCGTTGTTTTAAAAGTTCATTCTCTTGAGCGCTGCAGATCAATCTGTATAATGAAAGAAAATTTATTCAAAACACTGACCAACCTCATTTTTACCACACGTACATCTCGTCTAAAGCACCCTGTAGACCAGATAAACAAAATCTTAAAAAATTCCATTTGTCGTTATTGTGTAAAGTTAATAGTGTGCTCATTTAAGTCCTCACGAACAGTTTTTCCCATAACGTTGCTCTGAGTTTTTTTTTATAAACAGTTTCTTTTCATTTCTTTCATAGATTGTTTACATCATTAGGCCGCAAATTACACAACTTCTAAGAGCTATCGATAATTTCACCAGTGGTACCTGAAAATCATTGTTTTTGCTGGACCCCAAAATCTTTCTACTCTCAATCCTTGCACAAATCTAATAGGTATTATTATTTCAAATTGTGAACTAAGTCGTTTAACGTCAAGGTATATGTAAGTGATATTTATAAAAAAAAAAATAGAAATCAAAAACCTTCTCTCGAGTCCATCTAGATACTCCTTTTTTTTCCTTCTACTTTCTTGAGCTGACATCTTAAAAACGATAAATAACAGCTCTAAATCATCATCCATTAAATTTAATTGATTCAAATCAAAACCTTATTTTTTATCTTTCTTCGAACTTTTTTCAGTATATTCTCCTCATATTTTGTTAAAGGCAATTTGTTTGGAACAGGATAACCTTCAGCAATTAAAGTCTTTCTTTCTTCTTCACTGAGAATTAACACATTTTTGTCTTGTATCTGCTGCAAAATTATTTGGTTTTAATAGTAATCTGCGGACAATTATAATAATCATTGTGTTAGTCATTTTTATTTTCATCAAATTCATCATTATCACCCATTATCATTTATCTATTTATTGAAAAATCGATGTATTATATCAAAAATGTGTCAACTTTGTTTATTTACTATCGTATTTGAAAACAAAATATTTGTAGTTGAACTGGAGTTTTTACGTTTTCACTTGAATTTTAAAAATTTTCACACGAAAAATTTATAAATTCAGCACTTGCGCTTGAATAAAAATACGTGAAAAAATAACTGTTTTTTCGCGCAAAATTAACATCGTCCATGATTAAATGTTTTTAATTTTCTACCCTGTCGGTCATCAAAATCTACTACAAACGCTGCTAAACTGACTTCCTCCCCTTAGAAATTTCAAACGTTTGACAATCATATTTGTGGCATTAGCAACACTTAAATTACCATAATTGCGTTGTTGAAAACTTTTAAGTCTTAGACAAGCTTTTTTGTGATGTCGTTCCAATAAAAAAAAAAGTTATACAAAAAATATAGCTGAACTTGTTAAGTTATCTCCAAAGTTTAAGCAGCTATACTCACTAAACTAAATTGGAAAACGTTGTAAGTTCATTTGTGTAAAACACGTTAATAAGTTTCTGACACTTCATAATCCACCTCTTATTTCAAAGAAAGATGAATATGGTTTATATTTTACGGGCCTGGAAAATTATTGAGGTCGCCATACCTCATCCTATCCTATATAACATGAAAAACCGTTATCGAGTATCGTATAACACTTTGGTAAACTAAAAAAGTTAATGACTTAAATCAAAACTAGTAATTGTAATTAATGATAGAATATGAACTAAACAATCGATTTTTTTAGATTACAATACAAAAAGTTGTCAAAAATTTGTTGGAATTCAGGTATCGTTAGGAAATTTTCTAGCCTAAAACAAATGTCGAAAACCATAAAATTGTTTGAAGTTACAAAAATTTAATATTTAACAACTTTTTAGATATTATATACCACTGAAAAATACATCCACAGTTCGTATAAATAATCGCGATACAGTTGTGAAAATATACAACTTCTTAAAAATGACCGGATGTGTCAAGTGCTTTGACACTCTGGTCTCATGTCATTTATATTTTACTAGAGAAAAACCAACCGTAGCTGTATTATCAAAACTGCTTGAAACTTCTATTTTTCTTTCAGCCAATTCAACTATTTAAAAAAAATTGTATGTAACATTTAAAACATTTAGCATTGAAACGAAAAAAAGTTTGATGAAATTACAATAGTACAATACTTACACATAGGTGGTTGACAATTTCAACAACCAGATAAACTATTACAAAGTTAAATACAAGTACGTAGTTAATTGATAAGCGTTTGGTATGAGATGTTCATAAAAAACTTCAAAAAATAACAAAACGTTCACTACTCAGACTTACATTTTATTTGTAGTTTGAAAATTAATTTTCATATATTAATATTTTTAGACATAGAGAAATAAATTCATTGTTCTAAAGCAAATCGAAGTTGTATAAAAGACAATATTTAAGATTAAGCTGATTTTACTCTTCAGATAATGCAGTAGATAACACGAACTGTTTAGCAAATAACAAGTGTCAAGAAATGAAATTATTAAACAGTACAAAAGTTATAAGTGGTTAAAAATGTAAATAAACACAAAAAAAATTCCAGCTCCAGCATAGAACAAAAAAATTAAAAAACCTAAAATAAATAATGAAGCTTTGTCGAAAAAACTAAACAAAATGTCATATTAAAATGCTCACAACATACTAACATTCTGTGTTAGCTTCATAGTCATAAAGTTTAGGATATTCCCTGGTAATAAAAATTTTTTTTCTTATAGGTTTTACAATTTTTGTGACAATAATTGTTGGATATCTAATAAATTTTTTAGATTCTTGAGAGATAAGACTTGAATGTGAAGCAGCAGTTGTTGAAAAATGACCAAATTTGTTCGGATTGAGAATATCATCACTAGTTTCAATTTCATCTTCATGGACTGTACTCTTAACAGAGAAACTTTCTGTGTCAATATCCTCTAAAATAATTTTAACAAATAAAGAACAGTTAACCAAAAACTGATAATTAAGAAAAAGTTAACCTAGGTTCATTTTTTGGTCTGATGAAAAAGAATTTTCTGAACCAAACAACTCTTTTGAGTTTGGATCCACAGATTCATCAATATTAAATAAATCAAACTCCAAAGGATATTTAGAGAGATCATTTGACAATCCACAATTGAACAAACTTTCATCAAATGTATCATCCATCATCATAGCAATCTGGTGGTAACAAAAATATTTCATTAATTTTGTGCAATAGTGATCAATATGTAATAAATACATGATAGTACCATTGCAATTGATACATGAAATACCTATACGAAATAAAAACATATCAGTACAACAATCATGATCAATAATAACAAAAGCACAATTAGGATCAATACATTAGAGTACTAATAATGAATATTTATTTATATGATATAGAGTATAGTACTATTAAGTAAAATTATAAAAATTTCTATCATGATCTGTTTACTTTACATTTACACAACAACCATAAATAAATAAGTACTTTAATTGCCAATTAAAATTAGATAGAAACAAAATATGTCTTTTCTTTTCCTAAACTGCTAAAGAATAGAACCTAATTATGATTTTAAACAAGATAAGGATAAGCAATGGATTTAATTTTAAAATTATAAACTTCTTTTACAATTAAAAAAAGATCAAGTTTATTAATAAAAAACAGATTCGTTTAATTTAATAATCATTAAAAACGAATTAAAAACAATGTTTAATTAATGAATTAAATTATAAAAAAGCATTAAATTAAACAAATTGCTCTCTGTCTGTCTTGTTACAGTAAACATCATCATCTTTACATGAATCTTTCTATAATAATAACAGTATTTAAATTTATTTTTAAATTTTATTTTGAATTGATTATATTTCATTTATTCAATTGAGTTGCCATGTTAAATTAATAACAGGTGGCGAATATAGAATCCATTAGTACGGGAATATTTGAAAAAGATTGTTGTGATTTTTGTCGGAAGAATAATTAAAATTTGCAGATCATGCGAGCGTGTAAAGCAACCTTTTATAATTTATCTGGATCTAATCGTCAACTAATTACATCATCCATTAAGTAAAGGACACTAAATAAGCAATGATAATGTTTAAAAAATTTATATGAGTCATATATATATATATATATATATATATATATATATATGTAAATATGTATATATATATATATATATATATATATATATATATGTATATATTGAATGTACTATGTATATGAGTAAATGAGTATATGGTTAAAAGCATGAACAGAGAATGTATAGAGATTTTAGTTTGTTTCTTATACCTTGGTTTTTATGTAATGACGCAATTGACGTTAAACATGCATGACGTTAATTTCAAGTTTTATAGTTCAGTTTCTGGATAAAATTTCATGACTTATATGACATTACTTCTCTTAAAATATACGTACAACTTAGAAAATAAAACAAAGCTATTTTTTAGCACAAAATTAATATGACATCTAATTAATTACTTATATTTGCATATATCAAACTTACCTGTACTAATTTTAACAAAATCGGGTGTGTACGGAAAAAAAATTGACTGAAGTCGTCGGGTATTTTTCAAACATTATTGGCCATCTCCAAACATGGTGTGTTTGCTTACGTTTTATAGCATAGTTCTTTGGGCTTCATGAATCCGAAATCGACGACAGTCAATGAATTAATAATTATTTTTGATCGATAAAAGTGAATAAAGTAATTATTTGCTTCACTTGAAATATTATCATCGTTTGGACAAAAGAAACTTATGGTATGGGTGTTGGGGCAAAATCAAAACGAAGGTATTTAAATTTTTTTATTTAAAAAATTTTAGATTCTTGTATTTTTCTGATTTCTGTTTCCTGATTTATGTTTTCTAAGATATTTTTTAAGGGTCAAAGAAGAAGAGTAGAAAATTTGACTATCTTTTATTTGTATTGTTTCAAATTTTTATTGTCTTATAATAATAAATGTTTTTAATTTTTTTGGTTGGCTTGATTGTTTTTTTGTTTTTTTCTCTTTTATTCTAATAATGGGAATCTCTTACTAATCAATATCAAATAGTCTACTAATTTTCTAATGAGTCTAAATCTGAACTACCAAAAAAAAAATATTTATTCTAAAAGTGGATCTAACATTGGCACATTGCAAATCAACTTTAATTTACTATAAAATGCTGTATACAGTTACATTAGTTTTGTATATTCTTTTATTTTATATAAACTGTTGTTCCAAAAAAAACTCTAAAGGAACAAACAAAGTATATGAATTTTTTGTGAAAATAGTGCAGACCTCAAAATAATAATAAAGTTTGTTAAGTGTTGCTGTTATTAATACAATAAATAAATAATAAATAAATGAAATAAGAACACCATTACATTACAGAATACAGAATACAATAGGTGTGAAATAGGTCATTCACTTTGTTAACCTAAGAAGTGACAGCTGATCCATATATTACGATTAATACTGAGCCATATTTTTTCTAACCTGCAACAAAGGTTTTTAGTTTAATTGAAATAAGGCTTAACAGTTGTCTCATCTTTAACAGTTGACACCAGTGAATTATACATTGAAATTGAACTGAATTTTGTGTACTATACTAAACTACTTGACCTAAAGGTTGAACTGGAAGGGTTTGCATCTTATTCATTTTATTTTAGTTGTTACAGATGTCAATTTGAGGTTACTTGTGCAAATTGTAATTGTGTATTGTAATGGAATTATAAGAATAACATAAATGAGAAGGGGTTCTGAAATTTTGAGTTTATAATAGTTTTTATTTAATTGGATAACCATGGTATTATTGTTTACAATGTTGTGAGCTATATGAATGTTGTGGTGTTCACTTAGGCAGTCTTTTGTTGTTTTTTTCTGTTAATTAATTATTAGTCATCTTGATGTTTTGTTAATGTCTTCAATGAATTTTAATGTTCAAATTCATAAATCATGTGTAAATTAATTGAGATGCAGTTTTGTTTGGTGAAGACTGGTGCTGATGAGTCTTTTGTTAAACTCTAAAAATTTTTTCTAACTTAAGACAACAAAATTAATTATTTGGGATAAGTTTTCATGTAATTTTATTATTTCAGTTTCCTGAGTGCATTGATGTTCAAATTGTTTTGCTTTTTAATGATATTTCCCAGGAGCAAATGTTTTTTAAATTGTATATATTTGTTAGAATATTTTCAATGAAAAGTTCTTCATACAAATATCTTAAAAAATATAAAATCATATGTATATACATTCAAAAGTTAGATGCTGTATTTCCAATTAGATTCAGTTTAAAGATAAATGTTAGATTGTCTGCCTTGACAATCTCTTCTCATTAGTTTCAATTTCCTTGCTAACAGTCTTTTTAATTGATTGAACACCATCATGCTTTTTCTTAGGATGCAGAGCAAAGAAGCTTCTTTTGTTTTCATTGAAAAATTTTTTCATTAGTGGCTGACACTGGCAATGTTTAAGTAATTTTTGTTTTAATTACGATACAAAAATTATCTCAACTATTTTTTTAATGTAATTCTCAAGATTTGTTTTAATTTACTTTTTTGGATTAAGTTATGTACATATGTGTGTATTTGTATGTATGCATACGCTTAGTGTATGTGTTTGTTGTGTGTCAACATGTTTTAAATGTATTCTTATATGTGATTTTGAAAGATGATGTTAATTTGAGTCCTTTGTTTGTGCTCATTTGTGTAATGGTTATTTTGCATGGAGATAAATTGAAAATAGGTGTGTTGCTGTTAAGTTTGTTTGTTCATGTCAGTGATGTAGTGTTAGTTTGGCTTGTCATTCCAGTTTGATTAATCTTGTTTCTCTGCCATGCATGCTGTAAAACCAATTCATGCAGTTGCTTTTACTGTTCAAAATATTTTCTCTTTGGTTTTATAATGTCATTTATAAACTGTGCATATTATATATAATTATATTATGTTTGTATACCAGTTTAGTTATTTTATTTTCGCTTCTTTGTTTGTATATTGCAGCATATTTTTTATTTTTTGTCTGGTTCTCAAGTAAAAATAGAAAAAGAGAAATTTATTCCTGTTATTATTTATAAACGATATGTTAACGATTAAATGTGATATATAGTACTTATGATTTTATTTAAACTGATCCTTAGAAATTCTGACAAACGTAAAGAAAAGTCAAGAGATGCTGCCCGCAGCAGAAGGAGCAAAGAGTCAGAAATATTCAATAGTTTAATTAAAGAAATACCACTATCCGGTGAAATATTGACTCAGCTGGATAAAGCATCAGTCATTAGACTGGCTATTACTCACCTTAAAATCAGATCCTTCTTCTGTAATGGTTGGTCATATTTCATATTTAAACAAATTGATTATTGATTCTTTTTTATCTTTATCCTTAAAGGCCATTTTTTTAGTGCTAGCACACTTTTCAATACCTGATAGACAAAAGTAATACGGCATACACTGCATTACTTTTGTCTGTCTTTATAATTAACTGATGATCTTGGGCATGAATCAGTTTTTTACCTGTTGCTGTAACCTTCTAACATGAAGTGGCCTGTCACAAAGTGATATCACACATGTCCTATATTTTCTAAGAATATTAGTATATCCTTTGTAACATCTTGAATCTACAAAACAATAAAAAACTTGTTAAATGCTTCTGTTCTGCTAAACTGTTTTAGATACCTGAAAGTTTTGTTATGAAAGTTTTAAATGAGATGATTTTTTTTTGCAGTTATAAAGTTTTGCCTGAGAAGAGTGTTGATGAATTTAATTTTTCACATTTAAAAGCTATTTCATTTGTTTATGGTTAATAAACTTTCGTTCTATGGTTGTTTTTTTTCAAAGACAAGTTGCCCAAAAACATTTTTATAAGAAGTAATAAAGTGTACTCTTTTAAGTGCAGACCAAACAAATGAAGTGTGAAATTGAGATTAAAATGTTTAGAAGTGTTGGCTAATGGATGAGGGGGTTATTGTAACAAGTTTTACCTTTTCATTCATAAGTCATGCTTTATAGTTTAATTTTAAATGTAATTATGTGGATGGTGTTAATTTTTAATATTTTTTAAAGTATCATGAATTAAGTTTTTTTTAAATATTTAATAGTGATGTTTTATTTTAATTTTATGTTTTTTTTGCAGTGTTTGGAAACAAAGATGTTGTGTGCACATTTTCATCAAATGAGCTGGAGAGCAAATTAAACAAACTCTATTACAAGGCCATCAATGGTTTCATAATTGTCCTCACAAATGCAGGTTACTATACATACTATACTCAACAATGAAAATCTAACAGATTAAAACTTTAAATGATATAAGTTAGGTCCAAAACTATTAATATTTTAAAATAAACAAATTATGGATATAAATATGCATGATAATTTTCATTTGATAATGTTAAAAACTTGTGAAATGATGGTTAATCGTTTACAAACTATTGGTTTGATCAGTATTACTTCCAGACATTTTGTTTGGACTTGTAATTTTTTTCTGAATGGAGATGTGAATGTTAAAGCTGATATTGATGGTTGTCATCCTACATACATTATCTGTAAAACAAAATAATTTCTGAAACTATTCATTTACAACATAATAATAAATTATCTGATAGGTAGTTTGGTGTATGTAACAGAGAACATAAAGCAGCATTTAGGACTTTCTCAGGTTATTAAAAAATATTTCAGTACAATTTTAGCTTCTTTTGTTTTTTATATTACCATTATTTTTTGAATGTATAGACGTTTATTATTTCTGTTTCTATCAAGCCTTTGTTGATGTTGGTACATTGATTTATACTGCTGCTCATGTGCCATGTTCTACCTGTAATGTAATACAAATTGTTGTAGAAAATTTAAAAATGCAAAATGGAATGTTGGGCATGCATATTTTCATTAAAGAAATTGACAATGAAAATATTTTTTCACAACATGCCAATAATTTAAAAAAAAGTCCTTAATTTAAACAGACCGTTGTCTGTTTTCAAATAAACAATAAATATTTTTTGTTAATTAAAAATGCTGCCTCTTATAACCACAATCAGATTGACATGCTGGGTCAAAATATTTTAGACTTCATCCATCCTTGCGATCATGATGAAATCAAGGATATGTGGTCCTTGAAAATAAAACAGAGTAGCAACAACGCCAGCCTGAATGATATTTCGAAACCATCCTCACCCGTCTTGCCACCAGTAACATCAATCAAATCAGTCGCCTCATCAAACAAACGACTCAAGCTGACTTGCAAAGATGAAGACAAGCTGTCTGCATCATCGTCATTAACATCATCAGCAGCAGCATTTGTCGATGAGGCCACTATTTTTGAAAGTTAGAAATTCTTAATTAGCCAGTTTTAATATGTTGTTCAACTGTGTAGTGAAGTAAGTGGTTTGACTTATAGAAAAAGTTGATTATTTAATTGTTGATATCAATTTTGGTTCACACATCTCCATCACTGTTGAAGGGTTATCGAGAGTGCTCCAAAAATATTGATAACATTCCTTGGTTAAATTTTTTCTAGGCCTCTTAATGATGTTTAAATAATACAATTTTTTGTTATTTTTATTTCTTCTTTTGTTTTGTTTTAACTTACAGTTAATTCTGTATTTTTAAAAAGTTTTCTAGCTTTACCTAATATTGAGAAAAATTTAAATAATAATGCAATTGCTCTGAACTTTTGCTTCTATCTAAAAGTTTTTAAATGTGATTCTTTGTGTCTGTTCTTACTTTGTGTTTGAATTCAATGTGTTGGTTAGCTCAATAAACTTTCTGATTAGCAATTTAGTTAGTTTTGTCACCGTCTTCTGATTTGAATAAAAATAAAGAATATAAATCAAACCAATATCTTTCCTGGTTATGTTGTTTGAGATAAATGAAATGATTACTCTTTGACTTTGATAAGCATTGCATCCAACATTTTTGTGGATAGTGGCTTGGAACACAGGTCACAGGTTTTGGAATTGAACCAGGTCAGCGATGCACCATTGAGTTAACCTTGCCAACAGATCCTCTGAACTATCAAATATACATTTTTATTTAATGGGACTACTGATTTCAATAACAGTTTTTTGCCATGTTTTTTTTGCTCAGTTGTATTTTATTATTTCTTTAATTTTCAACTGAAAATTGAATTTTAACAGTGTGTCAAAGTTCATTACATTTTTAAATTAAGATGTAAAAAAGACAAGTAAAGATTGTTACATTCGAATGAAAAGTGTACAGTTCAATAAAAGCAGATCTAATTCTCAAAAATCTAATTCTTTCAAAGTTTGTATCATGTTGTAGATTAATTTTAAATTTTATTTTAATGTTGTAAAAACAGAAGTTGTAACATTTTGATTTGATTTTATGAAATATGGATAAAATGATCCACACTGGCTCTGTAATTTGTAGTATGCCAGAAAGAATAATTTTCATTTTAGCTCTTATTGTCAGGCGACGCCCCAAATTATTTAAGGAAGTAAGTTTTCCTTTTTATATTATCTTGAGCTGTCAAGATAGACTCTAGATTGAGAAGTTTTTCTCTTTATTGGTGTATTTGTTTGCTGGGAATTTTTCACAAATTTTTGCTGTCTTACACTTTCAAATGATCCCAACTTTTTATCTTTGGCATTTAAACTTTCACTTTTCTTCTTATAATTTAAGAGAGTTTTGATAGCTAAGTATTACATAATCATTTGTTTAGATTAGTGTGTGCGTGCGTGTGCGTGTGTGTGTGTGTGTGTGTGTGAAAGGTGGTTTTTGAAAATGGTAAACTATCATGATTCAGTGTTGTAAAATAGATTTGTTGTTTGGATGAATGCTTAATAGGATTTATTTGTAAATAATAATGTATGACTAAGACCTTTAAGTGTGATAATTATGATTGCAAAGGTGAACTTGTATTCATTTCACTCAACTTTTCTGAAGTATTATTTGTGAATCTCTTTCAATCCTTTCTAGGTTATACGCTGCTCAGGTTTTCTCATTTCAAGCAAATCATCATCAGCATCGTCATCATTGACGCCCGCCCATCCTTCTGTACCAACTTCTCCAACTTCAACGTCGTCCTCATCACCTCCACTCAATTTTACAATTTCGTCAGGCAAGCTACAATCTACAAAGCAGATTACGCATCAACCAAATTTATTAAGCGACACTTTCTCGTACCTTGTTTTAGAATGTGAAACCATCCTACAGCCGACACATCACTTAGGCAACAGCATTAACAGCACAGACTCCAGTGACCACATTATGCTGGGCTGCCATTCATTCATAACTCACCATACAATGGACATGAAAATTGTTTACTGCGATGATAAGTATGTCTCTATTGGTACTAATTTGCTTATTTGCAAATTTCATAAGAGGCTCATATAAATAATTTTTATTTACATTAAAAAATGTTTAATTGCTTTTAAATGTTTGATCTACTCAGAAAAGTTGTTTTTTTGTTCTATCATTTAAAACAATATTAAAAATAAACTTTTGTGATCATAAGAAAAAATCCTAACAATACAAAATATGTTGAATTTTAATTTATTCAATAGCATTGAGAAGTTGTTGGGGTACAAGGCTGATGAGCTTGTTGGCACATCATTCTATGACTACCACCATATTTACGATAGTTCTTCCATTCTCAATGCCTTCAAGACACGTTCGTATATTTTTTCCGATTTTTGTGTATTCAATTTTTTTATGATTGGTTATTATGATGCATGCATTTTATCAAATCATCCTAATCACATGGTCACGTATATTGAAACAAACCGAATTGAATTGAAGCTAACAATTTTATAAATTTTTAATGGAATATCGTTTCTGTTGGTAGTTGAAGTTTTTTACATTAAAGCGTGGACATTCAAGCCAGTTTTAAATAGGTTAATAGGAGATGGCGGGAGGCGAAGGAGTAATTTTTATCTCTTGTTTAAAATTGTAACAGATTTTTTAATACTTTTTCACCTATGGCTTGTCATGAATATATATATATATAGGAAGCATTCAATACCTGCAAATTACAAGTCAAAAAGTATCAAACTGTGTAAAAAAAGATTGCCAATTTGTAAAGGGCATGACCAATCTGTGCAGTTTTCGTACTATTTTACTTTCATATTAACTGTATTTCAAAGATCTACATAATTTTTCAATGTGAAACTCTTGCTAAATTATTTTATTGGTTGTCATTTTTTCTGAATTACAAGTGAAAAAGTTTTTCAAAATCAGTTCTACATTATTTTCACTACACGCCTCTCATGTGAATGTGCTAAACAATTATATGCTATAAAGTATAAATGAACTCAAACAGTGTTCACAAAAGGTCAGATGGTAAGTGGCTTGTACCGCTTTCTGGCTCATAATGGAGGATTTGCCTGGGTGGAAACTCAAGCCTCCCTTGTCAAAAATCCTCAAACTGACAAGCCCCAATCCGTCATCTGCATCAGTACCGTGGTGTCGTTAGTAATGAAATTATACAACATATTTCTATGTACAATGTACATGTGTTTACAACACAACAACAACAACACACGTTTAGATATATATTTATATGTATGCACATGTGTGTGTGTGTTTATTTATATTTAATTATTTGTTTACATGCAGAGATGTAATGAATAAAGATGTTATTCTCAGTTTCGTGCAGTTACAACAATCTAAAATGCAAAAGTTGAAGCAGAAAATTGTAAACATACGCTCACCGAATGAAACAGCCTTAAACTTAATTCAAAAAGAGAGTATAACTGGTGGAACTTTGTTGAAAATTGAAAAGAAAAATGAGAATAACTTTACTGCTGTTGCTGACAAACAGAGGATCAAAGTTCAATCATCTAATTATCAGACCAAAAATAATAAGATTTGTAACTTTGATGAAAATGAAAACAGTTTCAAAGGGAAGCTCGGAATTTCCAGAATCGATAATAATAATGTTGACTCAAGCTCTAGTGGTGCTAGTAACAACACGGACAGCAGTTGCACGAGTCCGGTCAATTATTCAATGGACAACAATATCATTGCTGATGACATTGAAGTAGTTGATGTTGTCGAAGATGCAATGGTTACTGAGCTTGACAACCAAATTAAAAACGATTACATTGACGACGTTGATGTAGATGCTATGTTTGCAACTGAAATGTTTCTTAATAGCTTCAAAAGTATGATCTTTTTTTTTAATTTTTTGCAATGAGTAACATTTTTTGTTGTATATTTCAAGTATTTGCAAGCAAAACGGTGCAATAAATAAGATGATTGTAGAAAATAAGATATATATACGGCGTGATGGCTCAATGGTTAAAGGCGCCTGGTCTTGCTATTGCTATGACTGGGTTTGAATACAAAGAGATTCCCGCCTATCATATGCAATGTGTATGATGCGTGGTTTGCACGCGTATTCGTATACGCTGTGTGTGTTTGTCGTTGAAACCTCTGAAGCAAACGCAAAAGAAAGAGAGAAACTTTTAACCTTTTATGTTCTTCCGTAAACACGTTGATTTTTCAGATAACTCTCACAAATGCGAATACAATGTTAATGCCACTGAACATCAGCAATTAAACATGGTATTTTTTGTTATTCATTCATTCGAGTAGAGTTTTGTGGTAACAACAATTGATCCATTATATTTGTTGATCGTGTATAATGTTTAATAATTCTGAACAATTGATGAACAGTTTGGGGATGACGGGAAGAAGATGCCAAGTGACCTCTCCTCGACACTGCCCCACATCACATCCACTGCCTCTCTTTATAAACTTCTTAATGAGTTTGAAGTCGGTAGATAATTTCTTGTAGTTAAGTTTTATAGTTCTGAATTAGTGATAACTTTCAATTGTTTTCATTTGAAACATTTCACAAGTTATGATTATCAATATATAAATAGGTGACTTTTTGTAAAAGTGTTTGAGCTGAGAATCATTCAATGATCAATATTTTCAGTATGAAGATGAATTGCGAGCTCCGTTCATTCCGCTGGATGACCTAGTATTTGCCAGTGAGCCTGTCATTTCAAATGATACAAACAACAAAAACATTTTGGCCTACAATGATAACAACTTGTTAGTTATATTTATCATTATTTTGAAAATGCACTATCTCCTTATTCTTATATCTCCCACTATCCTGAAGCGGCATTTCCAATGTCTCAACTTTCATCATTTTTATGTTTACGTTTTAAGAGGTTTATCTGGCCAAAAATGTCATGTATTCTCCGAAAATTATTTATTGTTTTATAGGAATTTAATCGGATTTAATTTAAAATGCTCTTAAAGTAAGATCACCGACAATATCTATTTCAGCCGTTTAAAACATTTGGTTAAGGAGTGGTCAGATTTATGTACATTGTACATGAGCTGAAGCATATATGATGTGTGCGATATATTATTTAATAAAAATTGAAGCTTGCTTTTATATGTGATGCTTTTTGTATTTGAAACGATGGTTTGATAAATGTTGATGTTTCACTAAAAATTTGGGTTTTTACAATGAATACCGATGTTTGAATGTGAAGATAGTATTGAGTTTTCGACAAGAGCTGAGGTGCGTGTTGAAAAACTGCAGGAGATATTAATTTTAAATAATGGAAATTAATTTTAAATATTGGAATAGTAGATAATTGTTAATAATAAAGTATGGGAGTCCGTTTCTTAAATTACTTGGTAATATCTTTTGTTATTCATTATTTTTTTGTTTCATTAAAGAAAATAATATTATAATAATAATAATATAATAATATTTTGTCACAGTTGGATTAAAATGTTGACCAACAAAATACGTTCTGATTGTATTTTATCAGTTGAATAAGATAATCACATCCAATCTAAACGTTATTAACATCTTAAATTTGTTCTATATGAAACTGAAGGCTAATTTTGATTTTACTACCATTTTTCGTTCTTGTTGAAACACTTGGGCATCTAATGAATTTAATTTTAAAATGATAAATTACAGGTTAGTTATTGACTGCGATGACATTAATCGATCTGCAAAACCCGAATTGTTTTGCCTGGATGATAAAGATGCGGCAGCTGGCACTGGTGCTGACAAAAACGAGAGCAAAACATGTTTCAACCTGAATTCAACTAAGACTCAAACTCCTCTCATCATTGAGGATTCAACTGCAGAGGGAGCATCCGATGATTCCTTGCAAATTACATCTCATTCACCAATACAGCAGCAGCAGCATGACGAACCTGGCTCTCAGAAAGATGATCCTCTTCTGCAGCAACCAACTATAGATATTAACACTTGCTTCAACACAACTAAACATCTTGTACTATCGAAGTTTAGGAACAACACTGATCATCGCCATTACAACAACGACATTGAGCTGAACGGCAAGCATGAGCATCAGCAAAAAGCTATAAATTATAAACGTCTGCCAAACCAAATGCAGCTTACATTGAATTGTCAAAATTCACATTCACCTTTGATTCTCAAGGAAATTGATATTTCAACGAGCCAGTTAAAATATGACAATACTAATCAGATTGGCTATTTATTCAACAGAAATAAAATTTCCACAGCTGGCGACATTAATAATAATAATATTATTACTACTACCAGTACCAAAAATAATGTTGTGAGCAATAGTAATGGCGATAATAGCAGCAATTTCTTTTCAGGTTCGTCTGTCTTGAAAAATTTGTTGCTAAAGGGGGTAGATACAAATTACGGCTACCGTCTAAAAGTTGACAATGTTCTCAGGCCTCCTTATTATGTTGAAGATTCGTAATAGCAGCGTTAATGTTCGTATATCATCACTTAACATTCATATATCAATGCAAATGTGAATTTTAAAGTTTACCATACTGCAAAATTTTGAGTTAAATGTAAGTTAAGGGAATGGTATTTCTACTGGAGAGTTCGTGAAAATATCATGGTTGGAATGACACATTTATAAATGGTAGATAGTATAGCTTGTTATCTTATCTGATGTTTCCACAAAAATTTAAAAAAAATATTGAATTCAAAGTTATTTATCCAGTGTGTTAAGTTTAATTGAATTTCTTTTTGCGACTGAAACAAATGAGAATATAGAAATATTTAGTAAAGGAATCGTTTGTATTTTGATTATCAAAATAAAATCACTCTTTAAAACTAACAGGTATATGTCATCTCTGAACTTTCAGATGTTATGATCACCTTTTTACCATCCAGTCTGCCAGTAATTGTTTATATATATAGATAGGTTTGTGTGTGTGTGGTGTGTGTGTGCATATATCTATGTATAAATATGTATGTGTGTATTTACGTGTGAATTGTTAAATAGAATGTTCTTTTAAAATTTGATAACAAGTTTCTTTGTTGAGTTTTTTAAAAATAACAAATCTTGGTAAATTTTTCATTACCAATTTGTTCAAGTTTTTGGATAATTTAATGATAGAATGTGATAACCACAAGTTCATTCACACATTCTGACGTATTTTATTGGCATTTATTATATATAAAATTGTGGTTGATTAGCAAATGGCTTGTTCGTTTTAATTCAGGGATGGTTGATTTGTCTTTATATTGATTTGTTTGAAAAAGTTATATGTTTTGTAATTAAATTTGTTCTTATAAAATTTGTTCTAATATTTTAACATTAACCTGCACTATTTCCTCCCAATTTATTTCGTTACATCACATTTTTATTAAATGATGTTTTTAACGGTGATATCAATATATAATTTTTACACAACGATACTGGAATATTTTAAGCCTTTCCAACTTTCATTTGAATTTATATTTTATCTTAGAAATATCGTGGTTGAAAATGAACAAAATTCTGCGTAAATTGAATGTACAGTAAATTTTTGTCGAAGTATTTAATGTATCTTGTGTAAATAAAGAATTGTACAGTAAATACGTGTAGAATTTTTTTTGTTTTGGAAGAGGACATGTATCTTCCTTCCCTTTACCGTCAAAAATTTTAAAAAGTTTGATAAAAAGGTTCATATGAAAATACATGCAATAGTTCGTATTCAAGATTGTAAGAACAGTGACTGTTTCGTGCACTGAACTCACTTGCAAGAAGCGGCGCTGCGAGAGACCCAAGTTTGAAGTTTGAGATGGGGCTCCTGCTGTAAAATGTATTCAGCGTTTGTGATCGGTTGGAAACAGATTGAAACCATTTAGTTAATCGATTACTGGTTGAGATGACAGTAACATTTTTTCCTCATTCCTCCTTCGCACCTACCAGCTTTTCTGTCGACAGTTCTGGGTTAGAATTTTAAGATTTTAGATGAACGTGCAAAAGTCGTTGATATTTTATTAAAAATAAAATAAGTAATAATTGTCAATAGTTGTAAAAAGCTACTAAATGTGCTTTCAGCAAACGCTTTTAAAATAAGTAAATGAAGTGCAGTTACATCGCAATCTTCCTAATTTAAGACGACGAGTTGATGCTGCCGAAAAGTTTCTGGTAAGGATTCACACAGTCTATAAAAAAATCGTAAAAGTTTTTCCATGAATTAAAATATTTTCAATTTTTGAAAACAAATCAGCTGCATCGTAGACTGCCAATTCTGGTAAGTAGTAAACACTTTGCATTTTAACGCTCACCTAAACCTTTATGAAGTTAATACTTAATGCACATATTTATTCACATTACTTTTTGATTTATTTTAAATTCGACAACTTAACTTTCATAGAAGTTAAATTTGGTATTTAGCATTTAATGCTTAGTGGTTACTTTCTCTTTTACCAATGGTAAATAAATAAACATTTCTACAATGTGGTTAATTATTTGTTCTCTTTTTCATAAAACAAAAACTTATACTTACAATTTTTAACCTCAGTTCTTAAAAATTAGCATCATTGTTCGTAATGAATGTAAAAATTACTTTTGTGAATAAAAATAACTAATGTAACGAAATTACGTAATCCGTGTTGTGCATAACAAACAGCAACATTTTATAAATGTGTACTACTAGTACATATATGTAACAAACAGCAGCTAAACAGCACTTCAAATTCACCCATCTGTTCATCACCAGTCATTTCAGTGCACCTGCATGCATGCTTTGTAAATATTTAAAGTGTAGACTTTATTACGTGGCTCGTATTTCTTTTGCTATATATTCAAATTCACGAAAAGTGATTACTCTGAAAAAACAAAAGGTGAGTTTATTAGGAATTGTTTGAAATTTCGGTTGCAACATCTATTTTATATTTTATAAACTAGTTAAATTTATTTTATTATCAGATAGTTTGAAGAGGATTGCAAGATTTTGCTTAACAAACGTAATTGTTAATTTTTGAAATTATGAAGTATTTGGCCCCAGAAATTCCAGTGACACCGTCGTCAAAAATAAATCATCAATTACAAATGCGCTTCGGTCATCCACCGGATAATTTGATAAAATCCTTAGTGGCTCATTACATATGTGCCGTTTTCTATTCTATGAATCTCCTTTACAAATCTCTTATTAGAACAAGTTATTTTTCAGAAAAATCTACAACAAAAGACAACAAAACAAATGCTCTTGATGGTCCCTACAAAGCTTGGTTGATTGCGTGTGCATCAGTACCAGCGATGTTAATGTTATCTTGCTTCTTGATTTACAAAATCATCATAGCAAGCAGCTTTTTAGCAGAGACCGTTCTCGCTTACGGATTGTCCAGTTTCGCTTGGGTAGCTTTGGCGGCGGGAATATGCGGAGCCTTGTTTTATGATAGAAACGTATCTGATGATAAAATGAAAAAAGAAGACCAATAGAAACAAAATATTCATTTACAAAATATTTCTATTGCCTTATTGATTTCGTTTCGTATTTTTTATGCATTCAATTTTACTGCCATCGATGTCACTTAGCAATTTCGCTGAATTTTTTTAAATACAAGATGAATTTAGCTTTTAAATTTTGCGTCATTTTTAACATTTAGACGACACATTACAAAAATATGTTGAGATTCGAATTCAAATTTAATTAATTTGAAAATATAAAAAAATTCAAAAATAAGCTCGAAAAGTAAATTTAAAAAGTTCAAAAAGGACGAAAATAAAAAAAATAACAAAAATAGATTAAAATTATTAGCAAATAAATTTGAACAATAAAATTCATTTAATAGAATCATATTATTCATACGATACATTAATGCATGAGATCACACTAACACTTAATATTAATACATTTATCAGCAAATCATGTCGACAGAATCCTGGAATGAAGTTTGGTAAATAATACAAAACTGTTCATTTTAATACTTTGAAAAAAACATTTTTTCAATTTTATCAAGATGATGTTTTTGCGGTAGTCGGAGTACGATCTTCGGTTATGTAAAATTCATTTGCTGGAGTTTTAGATGTGTGAATTTCTAAACATATGAAACTGAAACTTGATATTATAAGAACAATCATAAGGATGGCTACTTTAACTTCGTTGTATAAGAAATGAGAATATACGGAGGCAATAGTGAAACCTAGAGCTTGATACATTCTTAAGCTTGAAAAAACTGCCACCCGCTGACGACTACTGAAAAGTATTCCACAGAGACCTTCATGAAAATAAATATTTTAAAACTGTTTAAAATATAAAACATATCGGAAAAGAATATAAAGAGTTTAAACATGTATGAAAAATTTAATTGAAATTTTAACGAATGTCTAAAAATGCAAGAACATAGCTTTTAATTCTTTAATTTAAATTATTAAACAAAATGTATAAAAAATATAGTTATTAAATAATAAAAGGCAAAATTTTCTAAAATTATGGACAAACATACTGTTTGTTAGTGTCTGCCAGATGCCATCAACAACTCCCAATGAAACAGCAACGACAAACACAGTTGCACGTTGATCTGGAGACGGCTTCCAAAAATAAAGAAACAGCAAAGTAATCAAATGAAGCACTGAGCCTATTAAAAAATTTAATGAAATTTAAAACATTAGCTTTAATAATATTATATGGTATAGTGATATATGAAAACATCAAACAAGTAAATGAAGCGAAACATTTTTTGTAAATTTGCTCGATCACCATTCGTTCACACGAGTTCGTTAGATTGAAGTAACACATAAAAACTCGATCCCCATCGAAATTTCCATGGCTTTCAAGAGAATTCGCATTCATCATTTTCACTCAATTAAGATATGACGATGTTGCATGCTTTAGAAATACTGATGATTGTTAAAAGATGTATGCACCGAAATATCATATGAAAGAAACATCAAAAGCTAACCGACTGCCATCATAACACTCTGGCTCAAAAATCTTCTCAGGTAACCACAAAGAAAGGACGAAACTGAATCCATGGCGGAAAAAGTCATCATGACAAAACCAATCATATGCAAACCAATTGAACACGTGACATAAGACTGAATGGAAAAGTATTGTAATAATTAGTTTGAAAAATTCTAAACTTAAAATACACTACTTACATTTGTGAAATCCGCGTAAATAAAAGCTTCTTGAAAACCTAGGTAAATCATCATAGGCAGCATGAATTTCATTTTTGGGTCAACATGTAGCTTCCATATTTCGCACACTTGACTTTTTAGCCCCAGTTTCGATTTATAAAATATAACGTCTAATCTGTCCAAAAAAAGTCCTATAATGAGATGTGCCTGTATCGTAACCAGCATGAAAATCGCCACCAAAATGTAAAGTACGTAAAAATCAATACTAAAATTGTATTCCATCTGTTCAACTGATAAAAAATGAAACTTGAATCCACAGTTTTGAGATTCGTTCGTAAAGTTATTTAGGACCAGTTGAGTTGAAACGGAGGTAACGTTAGATGTTATAAGCAATGTTTTCATTAACGATGATGGAAAAATATAAAATATGATAGAAGACATTAAATTTCCAAAAAAATGAGCGAGATAAATCATAAACAGAAAGTATCCATTAAAAACAGAGATTATATAATCGGGTCGTTTATTTGCTGCCGAAGCAAACGATACAGCTATGCTAGTCAGGTATGTACTCTGGGCTACTAAAAGATTAGCCATCGTAAATCCCAATATTAAAGTGGCAGGTACTAATGTTAAAAAGCTTGGATAAAAGTTGGAAGCAACATAAAGACTGTTCCCAAACAACATCAGAGTGATTACTCGTTTAGGTCTAACTTTCTGTATTATAGTATTGGCAAGAATACAACCGGCAGCAAAGGTAGCATTCATGCAAGCTAAAGAAAACAAACCCAGGCTATATTTGCGGTTGAGACTTGTCTGCAAATTTCGTAATGAAAAAAATGCTGAAAAGACAAACATAAATCCAAAGCTGAGAATAATAAGGTTTTTGAGGTAAGCTTTTTTGAGTTTACCAATGTTTGGATCATGACCAAAGAGAACTTCATGAGGTGAAAGTGAAGGATCTTCCAATCTTTTACGAACTTGTTCTAATGTTGTATTAAATTTTTCCTGCAAACGAGTTTTTGAAGAATTGTGAAGATTTTCCATTGAACAATCTTCCGTTTTGAGAATGAAAAACTGTGTACTCAAATTGATATCAGATTGTTTATTCTCATTTGCCTCTTCATTGTCGCTGTTTTCGTTGGAATTTATCAGCCAGGGCACACGTTCTCCATCCACAACCAAACTCTTCTCGTCAAAAACTGCTTTAGTAGAGTTGTTCATGGAGAAGGTCAAGCAATCAACTCCTCCCTGTACGATTTTATTTTTATTAATTGAACACAACTTAGAAGCAGCTCAAGAAAGGTATATTTTTCTTCCATTTTAGAACATTTACAAATTATCTTATAAAACTATTTTTTAATATATTGCATTCCTAAGTCTTGCTCAAACAATGTGTTATACACGTGATAACATCATAACAATTAGTAACGCGATAACCAAGAATTAATTTATCAGAAATTTTCGTAACATATTTGCAATGTTAACACATTTCCATACAAACAAGCAACACAATGTTATAAAGATTTTTTATTTATAACAGAATTAAAGCATAGTAAGAAATATCAATAAACAAATTTATTTAACATAAATAAATAAGTCACTTATTTCATTTGTCGCACTCGCAATCACTGTAGTTTTACGAAATTATATATATATATATATATATATATATATATGCTTTAGAATTGTACAATATAGATACATATATAAGCTGTCACACACATTCACATTTCCAATGGATGCACATGCACATTATACATATATTGACGCATGAAAAATGCGGCTAAGAACTTGCTGATAGCATTATTGACCATGTCGACATTTAACAAAATTTTTATAAAAAAAACACTTTTATGAAAAACATTAATAGAAATGATATTTATTTAATCTTCTGTAACGCTAACGCTCATCTAACGGCAAACTCAGCAAAGCCATCAAATCGCTGTATGCCTGCTACACGTGTGTACGTATAAGATGTACAAATAAGACGTACATTTCATACAGAAATTTTGTGTACACTTAGCTATTTCACCATACCTCTGCACGTATATATATATATATTTATTATATATATATACTATATAGTATTGTATGAATTCTACCGAATTGATCTCATATCGTATATATATATATATATATATTTTACAATATTCTATAAATTTTACCGAATGTTTGGCGTTAATATGTTTGTAGTTCGTTTTTTACAATATTCTATAAATTGAACAGAATGTTTGGCGCTAATATGTTTGCAGTTCGTTTATATATATATACACATGTGCATATCATTTTGTTTCGAATTTTGCAAATAAGAAATGATTTTCTTCTGCAAAATCATTATAAACCTGAGAACTTTTTTCGACTCAACAGGCCAATTTTAACTTATTTTCAGTTTGAAGAGTGTTGTTTTATGTGTGAACAATTTGATTACTGCAGTGATTTGATGGCAGCCATTCCAAATTATTCTTGTAGGCTTCTAGTTTCCCTGCGTATCCAGGCTTGAAGCTTCATCGCTCATTGATGTGATCGCCATAACGAATATAAAAAACTTACAACTATTAGTATTGCAATGAACGCCATTCATTCAGTTGATTTAGTATTTTAATGCAGAGCACGTTTTATATGACAAATGTTTTATTTAAAAAGATATACATATATATATGAAAATATAAAATTTTAAATGATTGAAAAGCGTTAAAAATTTTTTAATAAAGTTTCAATTTCAGTTTGATAAACTGTATCCTGTAAATAAATGTTTAAATTAAATAATACATGAAAATGAATGTAGGAACTTAGTTTCCATATATATGAGTACCAATGAAAAAACAAATAACTAATTTACTAACAACGTTGGAAATAATAGGCACATCCCTGGCGTTTTTCAGCCATTCAATGGCTTCTGTGTAGTTTTTTTTCTCTATCAAGCACTATTTATTAGAAAAAGCAGCAGTTTAGAAATATATAAAACTAAGAAATCAATCAATCCTCGTTTATAGTCTCCATCCGTTTTGGGTCGGACATATAAAACTAAGAAAATGAAGCAAAAATATTCACTGAAACATGGAATAATACAAAAAATTTCTAAAGAAATTAATAGTATGGAGGATATCCCTACAACTACATCAAATTTTATACAAATTTCATAATTTATTAATGAAAAAGTATATCAAAAACCCGTGGCGTAATTTATATCGCTTAGTTCACGAGTGCTTGAAAACTTCAACATAATCTATGAAAAACATTTCCACAGTCCATACCTATCTATTCAGTGTCAAATGCCTTGGCCAGGCTTGTAAAAACAAAAAATCCATTTCACTGCTCTTTAATTTCTGAAATTGTTTTGCTGTGAAAACCATACACCAGTAACAAAGCAACAATTTACTTTCTGAAAATATGCCCAATTTATAGACACATTTTGTTAACGATTAAGGATGATGCCAGCCAAGATTTTACGAATGGTACAAGTGGCATCACAATAAAAATTTGAATTTTGTGACGAATATAGATGCATATATAGGACTACAAGAGTGATCACAATACAACCAACAATACCTTCGCTATGTACAGCATATTCTCTTTCCATCCTTTAGATCTCAATGTATGCGCCTATGAAAATTCATTTAGTCCATATTTTTCAAATAGAAAATTGGTCTTAAAATTGTTATGAAAAGCAGAGAAAGATGACACACTTGCAAAAAATGATTCAGACTTTCATCGATTGTGGAAACTGGTGGACTTGCAAATAAACTGCTGGCAATTTTTCTTTCCATCCACGACAACATGCACACCTGTAGAATATCACCATGATCATGGTGACGTCGTATGTTGATGTAATGAAGTGATGATAACAGGATAATAAAATTATATTATGACGATGTGAAAAAAATATCGAAAATTTAAATAAAGAAATGATGAAATAATAAAAAATGATATGGAACATTGTTATAGTGATAGGTAAAATCATCACTTGCACACGAACTATTATGAATATAAGTGTAAGCTTCATAATATATAAAAGCAATAAATTATTTAATTAACTTCATGTACACAACATATTGTTATAATTTACAGTGCAAAACAACCAAGGGTTTCAATGATCACAACTTACCCCATAACACCATCTACCAAGAAGATAGTGGTTAGCTGGATCAGTAGGATTTAAACTGATGGACATTTCGATGTGCTCCTGTGAGGTTTATGTTGGGTTGAAGAAAAAAATTCTTCCTGACAAATTAGGTAACAGTATTTATAAATGAAGTAAATGAAGATTAATGTGATAATTTACAAAATGTACAATATTTAAACTGAGGTTTTTGTAAATTTTAATCTGATGTTTAGTATTAATACTGTTATTATGACAGAAATGATAATAGTAATTATAATAAAATTGTTTTTTTTTTATAGTAAACTTATTGCAATTCAAAATTCTCATCATTTGTTATATGTAATTTGGATAAATATTTAGGCCCCAGATCCAAATTACATAATTTACACTCTAATTATTCCCCCTAACTATCTGATGATGACCAACAATAGTAAAGATAAATGTTTAACAAAACTAGAAGAATTTCTTAAAAAGTTAATCTAGGCAAACCTTGAATAAGTAACCATTCTTTATTTTGTTGGTAGAACTTTCGTAGTCGTTGGTGCTTCCGAGCGTGATGGCATACCTGTATTCAGAAACGCTTCCAAATAGATTAATTGTCAAAGTATCATGACAGATATCATGGCATAAACTCGTGCATTTGAAAACTTAAGTGTCATTTGAATACCGGATGCAACAAAAGTCTAAAACAGTTAAGTAATCAACATACAAAAAATTAATGAGATAAAATACCAACTAACCATTTATGAGCGTCAGGGCAATTATTATCCAATGAGAGGGCCCGTTCTGCCAGCTTGACAGATTCATACAGAAGTTTCTTTTTCACACCTTTATCCTTTGTAGATTGTGAATGTAAATAAGTGGATCTTGATAACCTCCACAAAAAATTTGCACTTTGGTTCATCTGCTATATTGGAAACAGAAAAGATTGAAAAATATATTGAAATTTTCAAGCAAAAAATAAAAATGAACTTTTTTAATGATATTCCACATTTCAAATAGAGGCAATAAAAGAGGTAAGAAAAATAGTGTAAACAATCTATTAAATCTGAAACATATTTAATATTGACAAGACCAGATGGAATAAGCCATCAAAACAAGCAGGGCAAAACCATGTAAAACAGCCAAGTCAAATTTACATGGTTAAGCAAGCTATTTTAGTGTAAAGCATTACACTAGTAAGCACCTTGAAAGCTGTACAATGGTATGTATCATGTTATCAAAAAAAAGAGACCAGACTGCAGAGGAACTTTTTTAAAAAAGAAGGTGTGCAGTGGTCTAATCTAGAGGTAGGGTGCAATGATAATGACAATTTAAAGACTTCATAAAAATGTTAACAACACACGCTTAGACGACATTTTCCCCGAGATCGGGGGTTGCCGTTTGGCTACCTATGATGAAACCGAAATACCCCTCGACGCCATCCACATCTGTCACTCGCCTCAGTATCACGCAACCCCGCTTTCACCCTGTCCTTCTCCACCTGCTCTCTCCATCCCAATCGCGGACGACCCCTTCCTACCACTTCTTCAACCTCGAACTCCAACACTCGCCTAATCCCGACCCTTTCATGCCTTCTCAACACATGTCCATATCACCGCAATCTCGATCTCCTTATCAATGTCACAATGTCCTCATTCAGTCCCATCATTGACTCTGTACTATTCCTCCTATCCTTCACTTTAACCCCACACATCATCCTCACCATAGCTCTTTCAGCCCTCTGCAGTACACTTTCCTCCTCTCTCCTCAACACCCAAGTTTCACCACCATATACCATCGCTGCTCTCACACATGCTTTATATACCCTCACTTTCATCTTCACAGACCATTTCTTTCCACACAATACCCCACCCAGTTCCCTAAATTTCATCCATCCTACACGAACTCTAGCCGTAACTGCGCTCAAACATCCTCCATCCGCGTTCAGCTTATCCCCTAAGTAAACAAAGCTTTCCACTTTTCAATACTACCACTCAACCCCGTCCTAGCGTCCGTCCTATTAATCACACCAAGAACACATTTCTTACATTTGAACGTGCCTTCCATTTTTTTCAGTGCCCCCCTCACACCACTACATCTCTTATGCACCCATTTCTGACATCCTATACACAATACCGAGTTAGCCTTCACTCTCCTGTCACATACCCCACAGGGGTCTATTTTACTTATCACTCGCTCCCCACCTTCCCCACTCACCATTACCTTCGTCTTACCAATATTAACTTTTAACCCTTTCTTTTCAATAACACTTTTCCATCTGTCAAATTTTAACTGCAATTCTTCCATGCTATCAGCCATCAAGACTAAATCATCTGC